GACCCTACCTCTGGGGGTGGGGGGTGGGGGCAGTAAACCTTAAGCCCCAGGTCCCAAGAACTTTTGCTCAATAAAACTTTCTCCTGCACTCCATGGTGGGTCCTTTGCAACCTGCCCACGTGCCACTCGGAGAGGGGCAGCCCTGCCCCTCTGACTCCTCAGGCCAGTTTATCTCCCTCCTTGGAGGGTAGCGAGGATTACAGTAGTGGCCTTGATTTAAGCCACTAGGAGTACCTATTGTATACACACCCCAAATAGGATTAGCTAGTCATTACCGAGAGCTTGGGGGTACGGTGGGTGGGGTAAGTGGGGCTGTTCTAAGCACTTAACACCTATTAATTGATGTAATCAACCTTCACCCATTTTAGGGACACAGATGGAGCCACAAGAAGGTTAAATAGCTTGCCCAGGACCCCAGAGCTAGTAAGAGGCAGAAAGGGCTCAAACCTAGGTTGTCAGTGGACTTGCTTCCCAACCCTGCTGCTTGACTTTCTAAACCCTGGGCCAACCTGCCCATTTTAGGACTGGATGCAAACAGGCACCTGTTCCGGGAGGTGTGGGAACCTTCGGGTGGGCGGGCTTTGGTGGGAGGTTAGGAGCACTGGACTGAGAGTCCTAGGATCTAATCCTGCCCATATCCCCCTGCTCCGAGGAGAATCCTGTCCTGAGCCCGTTCCCTCACCTGCAGGGTGAGAGAGCTGCCCTGACTGCACCACGGCACAGGGTGGGTGGGGCTAGTGAGGGAGGCAGCGGTGGGGCTGAGGTGGGGGGCAGTTCCTGAGCATGAACATGAGGAAGGGGTGTGGCAGAGCCCAGACACCAGGACCCTCAGGGGGACCATCCCAGCCCCCCGCCAGCCCATGCTCTCAGAATGTCTCATCTTTGGCATGAGCCTGGGCCAGCTCCTCTTTGGACTCCAAGATTCCAGAACCCTCTGAATAGGCCCGTGCTCACCCTCTCTGCCTCTTCAACAGCTGCTGCACAGAACTTTCCGGCAAGGTAGGTGTGTGATTGTCATGATGCCCTTTTAGATCCAAGTGACTGTAGTTTAGTCATTGCCAACCTGGAGCACCACGGGGAGTGACTGCTCACCGTTTCCTTCCTGGGTTCCTCAGGGAATGGGACTCAGAGGACACCCACCCTGAGTTTGGAATGGAGCCTGGGAACCATTCCAAAAACAAGGGGAAGAGCAGAGACCACCAGCAGGTTTTCAGACAGAACCCAGAGGTACAGTGCTGCGCAGCAGGGCTGCTGCTCTCGGGGCTACAGCCTTCGTTCTGGTTCCTCCCGGGACCAGACAAGCAGTGCGGTGGCACAGAGGTCCAAAGTGCAGCAAACCAGAAAAGCCTCTACTCCCACTGATTCTGAACTGTTTCTTCTGACATTTTGAATCTATTTCCCTTTATGTACTGTGAGGCTGGTAGACTTTAGGGAGATCCTGGTGGAGGCCCCGTAGTGGAATCCTCCACCCTCTCAGAGGACACAGGTTGGACACAGCTCCATCACTGGGGTCAGATCTCACTTCTTGACCCTGGTAGCCAAGTCACAGGCCCCAGATGAGTTGGGCCCATGCCTGGCACCTGTAGTCCTAGGTCCACCTGGGCTAGGACTTGGGCCTGGCTCAGGGAGGGAGCTACAAGACCCAAGGCAGCCAAAGGCCCCCCTCCTGACGCTGCTACAGGGAACTGTCCCTACCAGGCACATTCCCAAGACCCCAAAGTCTAATCCCCAAAGGTCGAAGGCCATGTTACCCAAGTTAAATCTCTTTAATATCCCAATACAAAGTCCTGATGCAAAAAGACAATGAGAAAACCCTGGGAAGTTGGGGGGAGGGGATCTGTGAATTCTACCCCCAGCAGCTTTTCCGGGGCAGAGGAGCTCAGAGAAGCAGCAGTCCACAGTGAGGAAGGGAGTGCGCGGCTCCTGGGACCTGCTCATCACCTCGTTGTTCGAGAGGGGCCGCACATTTCTACTCCTTTCTCTTGGTCCCTGGGATTCAACGAGCTCTGGCTTCAATCCCCTACAAAAATTCCTGAGATCTCGGGATCCCAGCCAGCTCCTCCCCTGCAGGACCCCTTGATGGGGAGGGGCTGAGGAGCCCATGAGAGTTCATAGGAGAGTATACAGGAGCATGGGTCAGGAGCACAGGGGCACCTCTGAGTCCCCTGCCCGCTCCAAAAGCACACAAAGGGGGAGACTGCCGTAGAGCTTGGGGTCCGTGAGGGGCTGGAGCAGAAGCAGGAAGAGTCCTACACCCAGAGCATAGCCTGCCAGCAGGGGCCGCCTCTGTGGATGCTCCAGGGCTGCACAGACAGCAGGGAAACCCATGTAATTGCAGAAAGAGTGGCAGAGAACTGGCCCAATCAGGTGTCCTGGGGAGGGGAGACAGCAGCCCATGGAGCAGCCCCACCACCTCTTCTGGCCCTTCTGGGGCTACTGACCCTCATCCCCTGGAACAGGAGGTCAGTGCCCCACCTGCCCACCTACCCACACACCATGGCCTCTGCTTCCTTCCACCTCTCAGACCTCACCAGGCTGAGGGCCCTGGCTCAGCCTGTCTCAAGGACTGCAGTTAAAAAAAGAAACCTGTTGCTCCTAGAAGAGTCTTCCCATTCTCCCACCCACTCCCGTGGGCCCCTGAGCCCTCGGGGCACCCGTGACAGAATGAGAACCAACCTGTGCGGATGAAGAGGAAAGCAGTGTAGGCACCGAAGACAGCTGTGTAGGAGAACTGGAACGCTGGAGATGGGGAGGCCGCGAGTGACCACACCTGCATGCCCTTCCTGTCCCAGCTCTAGACACTCGTCAGCCGGAGACATCTCCTTCCCTCTGAGGGCAGTGACTGCCTCCCCCAGCACCTATGGCTGTCCTCTACACCCCAACTCCCCATGGTCAGCGGCCCCTTCAATACTATAGCCCCCTTCCCAGCTCTTCTTCCAGAGTGGCTGTTAGAGACACCCTCACACACCCCAGCCCAGACTGCCCCAGGCACGCTCTCAAGGACTCACCTGCAGACAAGATGATGCTCCCCACACTGCTCTGGCGGAATCGAAGCTGCTCAAAAATGTGGTGAAAATGGGCTGGGAAGAGGTGAGGACCACGTCACATTGCTCTAGCCTGCCTTCGGCCCTGCCCTTGCCCCAAGCCCCATTCTCAGCTCTCATGCTGGGATCATCTCAGCAGGACCAAGTTGGACAGACTCACCAACTCCAAAAAAGAGTGGGCAGGTGAACACGGCAGGGCCCAGGCCCGTGCACGGTGCCAACATGGGTAGCATGCAGGCCCGGAACACCAGCTCCTCTGTCAGGGGTGCAATCACTTGGTTCCGAAGCCAGCGCATGTCTGTGAGGCAGCGGGCCCAGGAGCGAGGGGCTAGAGAGGGGATTCAAGACAAGCAATGAGTGGCTAGCTGTTGAACAGAGAGACAACAGAGGCCCCCAGGGCCCCTCCCACAACCTCTTCCTGGTCAAACTCAGGCGCTCATACTCAGGACATGTAATGGTCCAGCTTTATCAGCATAAGACAATGTCTCAAGATTGAATGAGAAGGCATTAGTAGTTGAGGCAGGATATCTGGAAACATCAAAATCTGCCTAAAATCAGCTCTGGCTTGGAGAAGCCAAAGGTTAGGGGAAGCAGGGGAAATGCTCTCTAGTCTACACCACGCACACTTCCTAGTGGTGTTCCTTGAACATCAGGAGCCAACTCGTAGAGGACACCTGCTCTATGTTCCCATTTTACTGATGAATACAACACTAATATCTCACACTTCAAGTCCCATCCCGATTCTCTCTGTCCCGGGCTGCCTGCTTGCTTTTTTCCCTCAGCCCTGAGGACTCACCTAAGACAACCTTCAACCCATCTGCCAGGTCACAGGGGCAATCCATTGAGAGCTGCATCAATGGGCCCAGAAAAAGGATCTGGAGAAACAAAAAACCAGAGCAATCAAATAAAAGGCTTAAGCTATAGTCTACTGCCTTTGCCCAAACAAGGCCTCAAGCTTCCTGTTCTCAGCCAGGATTTCCCACCCATGCATACCCGAGGGCCTCGCGCCACCTCACAGTTCCTGTCTCCCATCAGGCAGAAACTGGACACAATCAGGATACGAAAAAAAAGGTGAAAGAAAGGAGCGCCATGCCAGTAACAAAACAGGAGTAAAGGTAAAGGAGGACTCACCATGGTCAGCAGCAGGGGCAGCAGTGCTGCTGGGAAAAAGCCCTCCAGCCTGAACCCCATTAGGGTGAGCAGGGGTGTGCCTGGCTGAGCCACAGAAAAGGGGGCATCAGTCTTGTTCCCTCCGCCAAAGACCCCTGAGCTCTCTCCCGTTGCCCTCTGCCCCGCCTCCTTCGCACCTGGATGCCTGTGAGTTCCCTCCAGAGTAGCACGCAGAGGGGTGACAGACTGGACACCACCAGGACACTGGTAAAGCGCCGCTTGATGACGGCAGGGTGGTCCCTACGGAGGGGGCATTAAGTTCAGGGGGCCCCACAGTCGCCTACTGACAACTCGGCCCCGCCCTCGGCTCGCCCATGCTCCGCCCGCAGCCCCGCCTCATGGAAGCGCAGGTTTCGGCCGCGCGCGGAGCCCCCGCACCTGGGCAGCTCGCTCTTCCAGACATAGAGGCTGCCCACGTAGGAGCAGGCGAGGCTGAGACAGGAGAACACCGACACCCAGCAGCACAGCCCGGGACCCGGACCTCCCAGAGCCGCCGTCTCGGGCTGCCGCTCCGGTCGCGACACCGAGAGTAGACGCAACCCGTCCCCGCCCAGCGCCGCCATCGCGCTCGGACCAACGGCGCGCGCCAGTGACGCAATCCCACCACCTCCCCGCTCCCGCGGGACGCTCTGGTGACGTCATCCGTCGGCGCCCGGGGGGAGGGGCCGGCTCCGCCCACGACACTGAATCAGATCCTGCGCGCAAGGAGCTGGTTTATTGAACAACAGACTACACGTGGCCTGGGCCTCCGTCGGGCGGCGCGGACGCCTGGGGATAGGGCTTGGCTCAGGGGCCGGGACTCAGCCATTCCGAAAGGTTGGAGACCTCCTGCAGCCACAGCGAGTCCTGCGGGAGGGAAGAGGGCCCGGGGTGAGGACGCCTCGGCCGCGGCCGGTTCCCTGCCCTCCTCCGTGCAGTCCTCGCCCAGTCACCTCCGGCCCGCCCGCTGGGCCCGCCATGCTTCCGCTCGGGGTTGCAGAGGCCGCGGGGGGCTGCGCGGGGGACTCGGCGCGGCGTAGGGCAGCCTTAGACGGACTCGGAGCCCTGGCAGAGTGGGAAGCCTCCGTTCCCTCCACGACCTGATGGAGGCTGCCCTTCTTGAGCCTCTTGTTTTCTAGTTTCCCGCTGGTCCCTAGGACAAAACGCGTGCTCGTCTCAGGGCCCTGCGCTGGAAAAGATTCTTGGAGACATCCTGGGAGAAGGGCAGGAGCTGAGGCCCGGCTCTGTCAGCTCTCCCACCTCAGAACCTCATCAGGTGCCGCCCACATCAAAGGCCGGCAGCCCCGAGCTTCAGACTCAGGCCCGGGCTGCAGAATGGCATTAACGTCTCCCCATTCCGCCTCAGCAACCCCTGGGAAGAGCCGACCAGGCGACTGGGCTCACACCAAGCCCTAGCTCGGGGGGCGCGCGCCCACCTGGCCACCGTCTGTCCAGATTACTTGTGGAGTTTGCACTAGCCGGCCTCTCCCTCCCGGCCAAGCTCGGATCCCCGCCCCATGGCTGCCTCCCCTCTCTCCCATGGTTGCTCACACCTAGTTGGGCAGTCCCTACGGGCAGCCTTCCTGTTCACTGACCCACGAATCTAAAGCACCGTTTTTTCCCCGCAGTGCATCCCTGCTAGTCTGGCCCTTTTAGAGACAGGCTGGAACCAGGTTGCTCAGGTTTGGATTCTGGCTCTGCCAATTACTAGGTGTGTGACCTCGTGTAAGTTTGACATCTCTGGGCCTCAGTTTCCTCATCTATAAAATAGAAAATAATGGTACCTATACCTCATAGGATTATTTTGAGAATTAAGAACATTAATACATTTTTTAAAGTCGGAATAGTGCCTGGCACCTGCACCGCAAAGGTTCAGGCACCAGTGGCTATGGATGTGTCCAGCCACGCGCACACTACCGCCCTGCCACTGCTGGGCCCGGATGCTCCTTAAGAATTAGGGCTGCGGTGGGGGGAGAAAAGACTTAAGTATAATCACCGTCACATCACACACACCGACACCTCCCTATAACATCAAGGTTGGGGTGGTGTCAGCATCCAGGAACAGCCTCCAGAAGTAGCCTCCAGAGCCCTAAACAGGTTAGTAACCAAAACTAGGGAGAGCGAACTGGATGCCAGGTCCCACCCCCGTCATGCAGACCTTCCCATAACTGCACAGACTAGGAGAAGTCTAGTCCTATCACACCTGCTTTTGAGAGGCACACCTCCTGTTGCCCCAGAACATCCACAGTGGTGGCAAGAGCCAACCACATTCCAGAAGGACACTGCTGTGGTGAAAGGGGCAGTTTGAAAGCCTTGCAGTCATGTTTTTGACTTCCCAGCTTTGATCCAGAGCTCACCTGAAAAGCTGAAACCTTACCTACAAGGAGCTCCAGGCTGCTGTCCTCATGCACATCTTCTGTTCTGTCCTCTGTGTCATTTTTCTCTGGAAGCAGTTGCTTAAAAAATCAGAAGTCCCCAGTTAGTTGCAGAAGCACGAATGAGTCCCAGCAAGATGAATGTGCCTGGTGGCTTTGTTCACCATGCAGGGCTGTCTGCCCTCACCTGCCACTCCCTCTTCTCCCCGGCTCCTGTGAATCCACCTTCCCAGCCACCAGCCTTCAAGACTGACCACTGCTAGAGCTTTGCAGCTCACTCCAGCAAGTCCTTTCTTCTCTGAGCTCTGGTCACTCACCTACTGCCCGCCCTACTCCTCAGGCTCTGAAGCACTCACTGCATGCCTCTGTTCATCATTTTAATGTGTGTATGTCCACTTTCTCTTATAAATTCCTTGAAAGGTAAGGCTCATCATGCCTACATCTCTTTACATCTGGCATAGTACCTTGCACAGGGTAAATGCTCAACAAACGGCTGACCACAGGGCACGTTTTGTAGTCCCTACTAGCCTTTCAAAGTCTGCCACACTTGGTTCAATTTGGGCAGAGAAACAAAGGTACTAAAATCAAAATCCAGTCGTCCTAGCTCCTTGTTTTTCAAGAATACAAGAGTATAAAAATAGATATCCTCTTTATCAAAGTTAAAAACTTTTGTGCTTCAAAGGATACTATAAATTGCAAAGTCAACACAAGAATGGGAAAAAATACTTGCAAATCATATGTGATAAGGGACTTGTATCCAGAATAAAGAACTCATAACTCAAAAATAAAATAACAAATAATCCAATTGAAGTTGGTTTGACAAATTGGAGTTGTATCGAAATTTCTCCAAAGAGATGCAAATGCCCAATATGCACATGAAAAGATGATCAACATCATTAGTTGAGAAGTGCAAATCAAAACCACTACTAGATACCACGATCACCCACTATGATGAGAACAATAAGACAATAATAAGTGGTGAGGATATGGAAAAACTAACATTTATATAATATTGGTGGGAAACTAAAATGGTGCAGTTTGGAAAACAGTTTGAAAGTTCCTCAAAAAGTTAAATACAGACTTATCATATGACCAACCCAGCAATTATACTCCTAGGAATATACCCAAGAGAATTACAAACATCCACACAAAAAAGTTCATAGCAGCATTATTCATAATAGCCAGAAAGTGGAAATAACACAAATGTCCATCAACTGATGAATGGAGGAATAAAATGTGGTACTTATCCTTGTTTTCACTTCCCATGGTTTCAGTTACCCACAGTCAACCACGGTCCAAAAATACTAATGGAAAATTCCAGAAATAAGCAATTCACAAATTTTAAATTGCATACCATCTGAGTAGTGTGATGAAATCTCATGCCGTCCTGCTCCATCCACTCGGGACATGGATCCTCCCTTTGTCCAGTGTATCCACACTGTATATGCTACCAGTCTCCTAGTCACTTAGCAGCAGTCTAGGTTATCAGATTGACTGTCATCATATCACAGTGCTTATGTTCAAGTAACCCTTATTTTACATAATAAGTAAATAGGTTAATCTAAGTGAAAAGGTATGCAAGCATAGGAAAATGTAGTATACATAGGACCCGCAGTACATGTATTCCTGGTTTCAGGCGCCCACTGAGTTTTGGAGTGTGTGCCCTGAGGTTAAGGGTGGACTGCTGTGTGTCCACACAATGACATATTATCCAACAATAAAAAGGAGTGACGTGCTGTTATGTGTTGCGGGTGAACCTTAAAAACAGGATGCTAAGTGAAAGAAGCCAGACAAAATGCCACTTATTGTATGATTCCACTTACATAAAATACCCAGTTTGTCAAATCCATAGAAATGGAAAGTAGATTAGCGGTTGCCAGGGAATGGGAGGTAGAATTGGGACTGACTACAAATTAGGTACAAGGGTTCTTTTTGGCATGGTGGAGATGTTCTTTAATTTAGTGGTAAATATACTTAAAGCCACTGAACTGTACAATTTAAAGTGGTAAATTCTGTGGTGCATGACTTATAACCGAATAAAAAGATATTCTACCATATATTGTTTACTAAAATAAGTTCCAATTTCTAACTAATTGCACTCCAGGAACATAAAAGGGGTAAAAAGATGGCCCTAAAGGTGTGAAAAAAAAGTATTAGGAAAGTTTCCAAACACTTTTTTTCTTCTTTGAGGGAAAGCTTATTCTTTTACTTTACTCCAGCCTGGAAAACCTCATGTAACAGATAAACCTCTTATCTTGATATTGGGCTCACCAAGGAAATACCCACATGCAGATAGAGCGCCGAGTCCCAGAGGAGCCTTGCAGGCCCTTTGCCATCAGGTCTCCCGTATGAGACAGACCTGTCTATCTTCAGGATACGCCTCCTTGGATGTAACACTCCAGGAGACATTCAGTTCTGGTCTCCCCTCCACCCGCACCCCGGGGATAACAACATTTTTCCTTAGAAAGCTGCCTCCCTGTTACTGCTCTTGCTTATTCTGGGTGTAAGTTTTCAGTCCCTACACATATCTGCAACATGAAACCCTGGAGTACTATCTTGACTACTGCTTCATGGCTCACTGTTCACTGTTCCAACACCCGTCCATAACCTTTCCCTGCATATATTCTATAAAACTCAAAAACAATATTCTCTCATTTCTCCCATTATCCATAAGCTATACAACAGCCATAGATGATGTTATTCTGTATTATTCCAGAGGTCAGCTATTCTACTTTACCTATTTAGAAATGGAAATTTCTAATACTGGTTGGTCCAGAGGTAAAAGAATTATACCCGTTATTATTGATCTTGTAGTTTTTTAAGTGAAGCCACTGGGTGTCACTCTTGTGCCACTAACAAGTGATCACTAAATGGCCATTGTCAGAAGGAAACGGTATGATCTTGAGTGGAGAAGCCTGGGTTCTTACTCAATGCTTTGATTACTCATCTTCCCTGGACTTGTGATGCACTTCTATGTGGTAACAGTGTTACTGGGCTTCTGAGCCAGGAAACCTCAGAACAAATCCCAGCCTTGCCATTCACTGACTGTGATTCTGGGCAAATCAGAAAAGCTCTCTAACCAGTTTCTTTATCCACAGAATGGAAAAACTTCAATCTACCCCATGGGATCTTTGTGGAGTTTAAAATGAAAGTCTTGGCACAGGTTAGTGAACCTTAGGTTTATTAGCCAACCATCAAGTTAATTGGGCTATGAATGGCCCTGAGGCTATGAGTCATCACTATAACAGAATGAGGCCGAAGAGGTCAGATCAGTTCCTTTTGAGATCTCACATGGATAATCAGACACCCAGGCAGAAAGACATCACAGCGTGAAACACTTCTGGATCCTGCCCTTCCTTATATCCCAGGTCCTGTGGTAACAGCATGCACCTTAGCCTGAACCTATCCTTAGAAATGTGAAGATATGGATGAGTTGAACAGTGACTCACCAAAAGATATCTCCAAGTCGTAACCCCCAGAATCTGTGAATATGATCTTATTTAGAAAAGGGGTCTTTGCAGATGTAATTAAGAACCTCAAGATAAGACCATCGTGGATTCAGAGTGGGCCCTAAATCCAATGACTGGTGTCCTTATTTCAGAGAAATGCAGAGGTGAATTTAAGAGACAAAGGGGAAAGGGCATGTGAAGATGGAGGCAGAAAGTAGGAACATCTGGAGCCAACAGAAACTAGGAGTAAAGAAGCGTTCTCCCTGAAAGCCTTTGGAGGGGAAAGTGCAGGACCCTGCTAACACCTTGATTTTGGACTTCTGGACTCCAGAACTGAGATAATAAATTTTTGTTGTTTTTAAGCCAACAAGTTTATGGTAGTTTGTTATAGTATTCACAGGAAACTCATACGATGGGTATTTGCTTTTATTTGCTCAAGTTGTGGGCAGCAGCTTTCCAAGTTGGACAAAAACTAGTAAGAGTATTCATATAGCCGTGGGAAAAGGTATAGTAAATTAAAGGAAGCATTTACAGGGGTTTCACTGCTGTCCTCTGCCTTTCCAGTTACAAAGCAGAGGATGGGAAAGCAGATGAGATGCTGTGACCCTTGTAAGCCTGGGCACCACAACTTCCCCATCCAATGAGGCAAAAAGAAGTAGGAGAGGGAGAGAAGAGCAGAAGTGCTAAAGGTCCTGTTATTCTCTTAGAAACAGTGCCTATAATTTTTTATAACAAGTTTGAGATATAACTTGCACATATACAATAAACTGCATATATATATATATAAAATGTACAACTTGACGTTTTGACATATGTACATACTTGTAAAACCATCACCACAATCAAGGTAATGAACATATCCATCTCCCTCAGAAGTTTCCTTTGCCCTTAAAAATAGCTTCCTCCACCTCCAGTACCTCCCATCTTCCAGCAACCACTGATCTGTAACAATTGCTTAGTTGGCATTTGATAAAATTTTACATAAATGCAATCACAGTATGTATTCTTATAATTCCAGGTTTTTAAAAAATTCAGTATGGCTATATAGAGATTGATCCATGCTATTTTGTGTGTCAATAGTCCATTTCTTTTATTGCGGAATAGTGGTCCATTGAATGGATATACCACACTTATCTACTCATTTACCTATTGACACTGGGTTGTTTCCAGTTTTTGGCTATTACATATATGGCAGCGATGCCATGAACATTGGTGTAAAAGTTTTTGTATAGACATACTCTTTCATTTCTCTTGGGTAAATACCTAGGAGAATGGCTGGGTTGTATGATGAGTGTATATTTAATTTTTTAAGAAACTTGCCAAACAGTTCCCCAAGTGGTTGCACCATTTTTCATTTCTACAATTAGAGTACAGGAGTTCCAGTTCCTCCACATTTCTGCCAACATGTGGTATGGTCAGTCTTTTTACTCCACATAGGTGTGAATTAGTATCTTCTTTTGGTTTTGATTTGCATTTCCCTAATGACTAATAATGTTGAGCATGTTTCTTGCATGTTTATTTGCTGTTTTTGCCTCTTCTTTTGTGAAATCTGTGTTCAAATCTCTTGGCCATTTAAAAATTGAGTTGTTTGTTTCCTTACTGAGTTTTTAGTTTGTAAATATTCTGAATATTTATATGCAGTAATGTTTTGAACCAAAATTAAATTTCTTTAATAGATATAATGATACTGGATATATAGAGCTATTCCTCCTTGAGTGAACTTTGATAATATGTCTTTCAAGGAATTTGTCCATTTAATCTATCAAATTTACAGCAGTAATGCTGTTCATAACATTCCCTGACAATACTTTTAGTATCTGATGCCACCTCTCTAATTTCTGGCAGTGACAATTTGTGCCTTCTCTGTTTTAATCCTGATTAGTCTGGCTCAATGTTTATCAATCTTCTCAATGAACAACATTTAAATTTCATTGATTTTTCTCTATTATTTTTCTGTTTTCTATTTTTATTGACTTTCACTCAGATCTTTATTTTATTTCTTCTTTCAACTAGTGTTTAATTTGCTCTTCTTGTTCTAGTTTAAGTTGGAAGCTGAGGTCATTGATTTGAGACCTTTTTCTTTTATAACATAGATATTTTCCACTCTAAGTGCTGTATTAGCTCCATCTCACAAATTTTAATTTGTGTTTTTATTTTAATAAATTAAAATATTTTCTAATTTCCCTTTTGATTTTATGTTTGACCCATGGATTGTTTATAAGTGTATCATTTAGCTTCCAAATATTTGGAATTTTCTAAGTGTCTTTTTGTTACTGATTTTAATTTCATTGTGTTCAAAAAGACATTTTATGACTTGGATTCTTCAAAATTTATTGAAATATATTTACTGTCTCAGAATATGGTCCGTTTTGCTAAGTGTCCCTTGTGTACTTAAAAAAAAAAAAAAGATGGCCCTGGCTGGTGGGGCTCAGTGGATTAAGTGCCAGCCTGAGGACCAAAGAGTCACTGGTCTGATTCCCAGTCAGGGCACAGGCCTGGGTTGGAGGCCAGGTCTTCAGTAGGGGGTGCGTGAGAGGCAACCACACATTGATGTTTCTCTCCCTCTCTTTCTCACTCCTTTCCTCTCTCTATAAAAATAAATTTTAAAAATCTTTTTAAAAAAGATGTATACTCTGCTATGGTTGTGTTTTATGAATATCAGGTTAAGTTAATTCATAGTGTTAATTCAAAACATCTATAGACATATTGATTTTCTGTCTATTTTTATAACAATTATTGAGGAATATGTTGAAATCTCCAAACACAATTGTGGATTTGTCTACAGTTCTATTACAGTTCTATTAGTTTTGCTTCATGTATTTTAAAGCTCTTTAAAAAGTTTCATGAATGTTTAAGGCTACTGTCTTCATTATATTTTATTCAGTGTATGTGAATTTATCATTATAAAATGACTCTCTTTATCCCTGGAAACATTCTTTGCTCTGAAATCTACTTTGTTTGACATTATTATAGCCTCTCCAGCGTTTTTCTCTTTCTCTCTTTAGTATAAGCATGGTATACCCTTTTCCATCCTTTTACTTTTAATCTATTTCTGTCTTTATATTTAAAGTGGAATTCTAATAGGTGGCATAGAGTTATCTCTTGCTTCTTTATTCAGTCTAACAATTTCTGTCTTTAATTGGGTTGCTTAGACCATTTACACTTAATATGATAATTAATATGGCTGGATTTAAATATATCACCTTGCTAATTGATTTTTATGTCTCATTTGTCCTTTGTTCTCTTCTTTTTCATCTTTTTCTGCCTTGTTTTATTTTTTAGACCAGTTTTAAGTTCACAGCAAATTGAGCAGAAGGTACAGAGATCTCCCATATACCTGCTACCCCCACACAGGCATAGCCATTATCAACATCCCCCACCAGAGATAAACCTACACTGACACATTATCATTCAAAGTTCATTTACATTAGGGTTCACTCTTGGTGTTATACATTTTATGAGTTTAGACAGATGTATAATAACATGTACCCACCATTATAGTATCCTACAGAACACCTACTCCTCTTCCTCTAACCCCTGGCAACCACTGATCTTTCTACTGTCTCCATAGTTTCACCTTTCCTCTCTGTGTAAGCCCTGTGTAAGGTCTTCATATTTTTCCCTCGAATCCTTCTGTGTGGTTCTTTACCTGGAGTTTCTTCACATGAATGAGCTGATCAGTACTCAGCTGAATACTAGAGGGAAGAGCTCCTGCAGATCTCCAGAATTCTCTCTCTGTGCAGCTCTCTCTTCCCTGGTACTCTGCCCTGAAAACTCCAGCAGCTTTGGCATCCTTGGACTTGCAGCTTCATCTTTTCAACTCAGGAAGACCACTAGACGTGGCCTGGATTCCCTCTCCCTGTTCCGTGGCCTCTGTACTTTCTCTAGGCAGTATGCTACGGCGATCACAGGGCTCACTGCATTTGTTTTCCATCTCTCAGGAATGACTAGCTCACACGACATCTGATACCCAATATCCTGAGAAACACTGTTTCAGATGTCGTGTCCAGATTTTTGTTATTTGAGGCAGGAAGGTAAATTCGGTCCCTGTTACTACACCTTGGCCAGAAGCCACTGTATAATAATTTCACCCTTAATCTTTTTTATTTACTCATCTTATACTTTAGTTCCAGAAAATTCAGCCCTACTGATCGGAGTGTAGAGAGTCAGAAAAATGGGCCTCAGTGGGAACACTACTACCAGGTATACCTGGAATTGAGATACAGAATTTCCCAGCTACAATTTTTCTCCACTCATTAGAGGATGCTATCACAGAATGAGATGAAGCTATTAGACCTTCTTGAGGGTAGAGACCCCAATGCAACTCTTTATCTCCAGCATCCAAGGTGAATAGATAAAAGTATGGGATTGATTAGGCAAAACTAAACATGAAAATTCTATCATATCATCAGCATTATAAGAGTAGTTGTGTGCTTAGCAATCTACATACATACAATTTTATTCAAATCTCACAATCACTTTAGATATGCATCAGGATACTAATAAAGAAACTGAGGCTTAGAAAAGTTAACGAGCTTCCATAGTAACACCACACAACTGGCTAGTGACAGAAAAAGAAATCAAGCAGCATCTAACAATGTTCTTAATCTCTATGTAATACTATATTCTATAAAGTTTTTCTAAACCACAGACTTCCTTGCTGAAAAGCTAACCTTAGATCGTGCAATCTAAAGCACCTGCACCTGCCCACCCTGTCTTCAGGACTCCCATACATCAATATGGAACATTTCCACCAAAGTACTTTTACAATTTACTTAACAAAGTATTTTACTCTACAATTACCTGTCTCCCCTCACATAAGCAGTGGTGAAGAACTCGGTGTTGGGTGATCTCATAAAATGATTTGTGCAGTTTGGTCCCAAGTTCCTGTGTGTCAGCTGCCTGCAAAGGGCCGGAGACAGAATGTGCTGAGTTCCAGGGCTGGCAACCAAAGGGAAAGTACCCACAGGAATTCCATACGTAACGAAGACAAGACAAATACGAAGGCAAACCAGTGACACCGCTCATGTCATGTCAGGAGTTTTTGTTTGTACCTATGGACACAGGAGAAGTAGAAGGGAGGCCTGAGATACTTGGCATTAATCTGGTAGTAGGAGCTCCTATATTTCTTCCAATTCCTGTTACCTAAGCGAGAGCTATCAAACAAGGTCTTTGTTCTCCCATCTCTATAGGAGATAAATATCCCAGAGATCCATCTGTTTGCACGGGGGTTATGTAAACTGCTCTCCTCTACAACAAGTTCCAAGAGAGCAGACATTCCACTGAACAATGGAGGCTGATATGAGAAATTTTCCTCGGTTAAGTCTTTTAGGGAGAAAAAGAACAAAACAATACAGTTTGCATACCTAAGGGATGGGTAACAGTCTCTACTTTTTAGTATAAAATTGTAAGATACCAGAGTTAAAGGGGACCAGAATAATCACCTAATACAACATACTTGTTTTACAGATGAGAAAACAGAAATTCAAAAAGAAGTGAGCAACCCAAGGTCTCACAGCTGGTTAGTCCTGCAGGATGACCACAGCACTGCTGATATATGCTCTCCTCACTACCCCATACTAGTCACGTGACCCGGAAAGCTGAAGCTATGATAAAATGCACTAGATTATAAAGGTGTTACATTCCTTGACCCAGCAGCTCCACTTACAGAAATTTATTTTAGGAAATAATTCAAAAGAAGCAAGACATCTGAAGTTATAAGCAATAAGACGCTATTTTTAAAAAAGCTTTAAGCTTTGGTCTCTTAGTGTGGTTGTTTTTTCCTTGAAAAGGGAGCCATATGAAGTAAAAAATATGTTACCAAAAGTACACAGGATGAAGGAATTCAGAAAGTTAAAGATATTTTAAAACAATTTTTATTTTTTAATTTTTTTAATAGATTTTATTTTATTTATTTTTAGGGATAGGGGGAAGGAGAGAGAAAGAAAGGGAAAGATATATTCATATGTGAGAGCAACATTGACCGGTTGTGTCTCGTGCCCCACCAGCCGGGGACCAGACCAACCCAGGCAAGCGCTTCGAATCAAAGAGATGACCTTTTGCTTTGTGGATGACACTCAGCCAACTGAGCCATGCCAGTCAGGGCATCAGAAAGTAAGAGATATTAACTGAAGCACTATTTATACTGGCAAAAAGAATGTAAACAACTTAAATGTCCATCATTACGGGAATGTTTTATTAAATTAGGTTAAACCGACATAATGGAATATCAGGTAACCAATACAAAACCTGAGACTGCTGAAACAGGGAAATGTCAAATTATATACGAATATAGACTACTTTGGTTACAACTATATAATGTATGCAATAATATGCAAAAATGTTAAAGTGATAAAGTTTATAATTTATAATTTTATATGTACATTATCTTTTCTAAAGAAAGTTTAAAAAACGAAGCCACAGGTATGGAAGCAATGTGTTATCTCACTGATAATACCAAATGGTCAGCGCACATTCCTAAAAGAAAGAAAATAAACTAACATTTATGAGAACCTACCATGTGCAACGCACTTGTACATTAAGCCCTCACCCTCATGATAACTCTCTGAGGTACTATTATGTTTTCCAACTTATAGATGAATCTCAGAGGAATTAAGTACAGGCCTAAATCCATATAGCTAGTAAGTAAATAAGCCAAGGTTTGAACTTAGACCTCTGATTCCCAAGCTTGTTATATATCATTCCATGCTGCCTTATGGCTGCCCAGTTATTTCCAATGTATTCTGTCACTGAGAGGTAATAGAGCATTCTTCAACAAGGAATTAGGAATCACTGATCTAATCCTAACTCTGCTCAAAACTAGCTGTGTGACCTAAAGGAAGTAAATTTTTTTTCTCATTTATAAAATAATATACACACCACTATCTATTCAACAAATATTTCTTAAAACACCACAGGCCTGGTACTATATAGGATCACAATATGATCTAATTCAATAATGACCCTAAAAGCACTGTACATGTTACCAAGGAAGGTAGAATGTCATTAAAACTGTGGCACTTTAAAGCGTCCCACTAACTTGAAGGGCCTGAAGGCAGGTCTTTCGGAAGCTGCGGCTTGTGCTGCCCGTCACGATACTCATGATGGAATTCACAGCCACTGAGAGTGAGGTCTGCAGCTTCTGATGAGCCTGGGCAACAAGACAAGTAAGGGGGAGGCCACAGTTTATAAAAATCCCAAGCTGCTGGCTCAGAGAATCCAAAGGGACCAAAGATTTCAGTCAGAGCAAGATTTCAACAATTTTTCCCCCTCCATCAATGATAGTTACTGAGATCATGACATGTGAAGGGCACTAAGGGATTGAAATAAGTAAAAAATGTTTTCTCCTTTCATAGGGATGACTCATTGACATAGACACATTCAGAAAAGACAATCAATAAGACACTGGACTATAAAACAGATACACTTATGATTTTAAAAGCTTTAAGTTTTGGTCTCTTAGTGTGCGTTTTTTCCCCCTGAAAAGAGGACAATGTGAAGTAAGAAATGTGTTACCAATAGTACACAGGATGAAGAAATTCAGGAAGTCAGGTAGGAATAGAAAGGTGTTGTAATGCTTATGAAACGGAGGAAGATGTAAGATTCAGTGAAGCAGCAGCTCCAAAAGCATGTGTAGGAAAGGGAGACCTATAGGTAACGAAGAGGTGGATTATGAGTCATTTCTCTCTACTATTTTATCCCTATGTAATCAAACTCACCTACTGGGAGATAAAACTTAAGCAAGCTGATTACAGTGACCCATCTCAGTTAAAGCTTGAGTTCCTAGGCTAGAGGCAGTGTACAAGATCAGTTCAGGGGAGAAGAGAGGAAAGGAAGAGGCATTAGGAAGGACAGGGTCTCGGGCCCTGTCTGCCATATATTCTAGCAGCCTTTTTCGTAGAGAGTAAGAGAAAGAAAATTGCCAATTTCTTATTACCTTGGCAGCTTGGTGAAGCTGCTCCAGGGCCTGGTCCACGGTAAGCTGGAGGGACTCTTGCACCACGCCGCGGCTCTCCCTGAGGGTGGCCCTGAGGTGAGCTGTGAGCCAAGTGTGGACTCCTAAAGGAAGCGAGAATGTTGGTAACCCTGAGTGAGCGTGACCACTTCAAGGCTGGTGTTCCCCAGCTAGTTTACTTCTGCTTATCCATGAATAATTACTTTTTTTAAGACAGAAAAACAAACCCAGCAACTTGCAAACTCACCCAATTCCTCCTTACAAATGAAAGAAAGCTCAGAAAAATTGAAGCGAAGATAACATTAATTTTGAAGAAACAAATGCAGGGTCCTCTTTAATTCAAATCAGAAACATAAATATGTACCACATACTATACACAAGGATACTGGCGGCTCCCAAAGGAGAGAGCATGCCTCCTGCCGTGTTTGCCCTACTGCGCCCCTATCTGAGCATCCCGTCGTGGCGAGCCACCGTTGTTGCCAGTGTGTCAATCCTTTCAGATGTGCTGTGGTTCAGACAGAGGTAAAACTCACAAACATGACTCAAAACTACTGTTTTAAGTTTCTTTTAAATGGGAAACTATCTCTCATAAAGTAACCATAGGCACCACCATTCAGCATCATTCAGAAAAGCTAACGTGGGAGAGTGAGAGGTGAAATACGCCATCCACAATAGCTAGCACTGATAATCCTGATGCAACACGGGATGACAAATTCACTCCACAGGGCACATGGAGAAATGCTTCTTGATTAATCTTTCTTTTTTCTGTGTTTTTCTACTCTCCCCTGGGTAGTCTGTTCAAAGGTACAATGGTGAAGCAACCTACGGATGGCTGGCTTTTCTCAAGGTTGCATTGAAAATGCAAGGCTGGAGAACATTTTCTGCCATGAGGCACCAGGATGCTTCACTGGAAGGAAGGGTAATATGAGATCTGCTCAACGGGGGTCTGGAACTGGAGTCAGGAGAACATAGATTCCAGGGTCCATTCTACTACCAACCAGTGGTGACAAAGTCACTTTACTTTTCTCACTTCGATACAGAAAATGGCTTTATATCACCTACTCTCATGGCTATTTTGTACAGATAACCTGGGATAATATATATGAAGTGATTTGAAATGTACATTGCAATATTCAAGGGGAAAATATTACTATTGCTTTGATGGTATCATCTGGATTACTATTTTCTACAGTTTGGTCCTAAGAATAGCTTCAAGAAATCAGTTAGAACCCTTTAAAAAGCAGGCATTTAATTAAAGAGCTACAAGTTCACTCCTAAAATTGCAGATACTACCAGATGCCTTTAACGGTATGGCAAAATAATGAGTTAATCATAGCAAAGTTACCATGACAAGATGGGCAGAAGGCCAATTGAGTGGTTTTTTTTAAGACACATGGAAGCAGACTGCAGTTCTGCACAATCTGTTTCCTAAAAGGAGCTCGAGAGAAAGCTTTCAAGGATATGAGAAAGAGGGGGAAAAGAAGATAAAATTACTGTATCTATATCCCTATATCTATATCTACCTGCCCTCAGAGTACATCTTCTTCAAAGCTTGGTCCTAAACTATCAGATGTATAAGGAAATTTTAAATGATGCTATTACATAGATTGCGACTTCCGGCCAAGATGGATGGGCAGGTAGAGACACTATGCCTCCTTGTACAACCAAAGGAAGGACAACAACAAATTAAAAAAAAAGTAACCAGAACTGCCAGAAAGTCGAACTGTATGGAAGTCTGACAACCAAGAAGCAAAAGAAGAAACATTCATCCAGACAGGCAGGAGGGTCGGAGACAGGTAGCCCCGGTGGAGAGGACACATGGCAAGGCAATGGACTGGACAGGCAAAGCAGTGGCTGGTGGACCAGACAGTCCCACATTTGCATGTGGATAAACTGGAGGAACAGCTGGGGAGCGAGGCAGACCATGCAAGCCATGGTTCCAGTGCAAGAAAAGAAAGCCTCATAACCTCTAGAGGTAAAGCCCTGTGGGGCTTGCGGTGGCAGGAGAAACTCTCAGCCTCACAGGAGAGTTCACTGGAGATACCCACAGGGTCCTAGAATGTACACAAAACCACCCCCCAGGAGACAGCACCAGAAGGTCCCAATTCCCTTGAGGGTAGTGGGGGAAGTGACTGAAAGCCGGTGGAGAGAGGAGCAAGCAGCATTGTTCTCTCCTGGACCCCTCCCCCCCACACAATGTCACAACCCAGCAACCTGGGTTGCCCCGTCCTGGCAAATACCTAAGGCTCTGCTCCTCCCAACGTAACAGGTGCACCAAGACAAAGAAATATGGCCCAAATGAAATAACAGATCAAAGCTCCAAAAATAGAACTAAGCAATGAACAGATAGCCAACCTATCAGATACACAGTTCAAAACACTGGTAACCTGGATGCCTACTGAATTGGTTGAGTATGGTCACAAAATGGAGGAAAAAGTGAAGGCAACACAAAGTGAAATACAGAAAAATATACAGGGAACCAACAGTAAAGGGAAGGACACTGGGATTCAAATCAACAATTTGGAGCAGAAGGGAGAGAGAAACATTCAACCAGAACAGAATGAAGAAACGAAAAGTGAAAAAAATGAGGAGAGGCTTAGGAACTTCTGGGACAACTTTACAGATTCCAACATCCGAATCACAGGGATGCCAGAAGGAGAAGAAGAAGAGCAAGATATTTGAAAACTTACTTGAAAAAATAATGAAAAAAAAACCTTCCCCAATCTGGCAAAGGAAATAGACATCCAGGTGATCCAGGAAGCTCTGAGAGTCCCAAAAAAGTTGGACCCAAGGAAGCACACACCAAGACATACCATAATTACATTACCCAAAATTAAAGATAAGGAGGGAATCTTGAAAGCAGCAAGAGAAAAGGAGACAGTTACCTCCAAAGGAGTTCCCGTAAGACTGTCAGCTGATTTCTCAAAAGAAACCTTACAGGCAAGAAGGGGCTGGAAAGAAGTATTCAAAGTCATGAAAGATAAGGACCTCCATCCAAGATTACTCTGTCCAGCAAAGCTCTCATTTAGAATGGAAGGGCAGATAAAGTGCTTCCCAGTTAAGGTCAAGTTAAAGGGGTTCATCATCACCAAGCCCTTATTATATAAAATGTTAAAGAGACTCATCTAAGAAAAAGAAGATCAAAAACTATGAACAGTAAAATGACAACAAATTCACAATTATCAACAACTGAACCTAAAACAAAAACAAACTGAGCAAACAACTAGAACAGGAACAGAATCATAGAAATGGAGATCAGAGGGGAGGGGGAAAGGGAAGAATAGGGGAAAAGGTACAGGGAATAAGCAGCATAAATCACAGATACAAAATAGGCAGGGGGAGGTTAATAATAGTACAGGAAATGGAGAAGCCAAAGAACTTATATGTACGACCCATGGACATGAACTAAGTAGGGGATGGGGGGTGGGGAGGAAATGCTGGGGGAAGGGGTGGTGCCGGGTGGCAGGGAATAAAGGGGAGAAAAAATGGGACAACTGTAATAGCATAATCAATAAAAGATATATAAAAAATAAAGATACTATTACAAAAAATTTTTTATCCTCACTCGAGGACATTTTTTCATTGCTTTTAGAGAGAGAGGAAGGGGAGAGACAAATATTAATGCAAAAGAGAAGCATCAATTGCTTGCCTCCTGTATGTGCCTGAACCAGGGATTGAATGCTTTGGGACCAGAGATCAAACCTGCAACCTAGCTATGTGCTCTGACCGGGAATCAAACCCACAGCATTTTGGTTACAGGACAATGCTCCAACCAGCTGAGCCATACTGGCCAGAGCAAAAGATACTATTTTTTATTAATGCAGTAATGTATTTCTATTTAATCCCATGCTGAATGCTACTTGAGATGCCGCAGGCCTTTAGAGTCCAGCTAAACAGAGGTGTTTAAACTATCACAGTATTACAAGAATGATAGATCACACTGGTTTCTGAGGAATCTGAGTTCATAAGGTAAGTTCAATAGGATTCAGAACATGGTATCAGACTTTATGTTATCATAAGGAAGACTGAATATGGTATTCTATTCCTGTTAGCAGATTTCAACAACAACAAAAACCCCAAAGATCACATATTTTAAGTCTTAAGAGGGTCTTTAGACTTGGAAGGGCCTTTGTTATCACCCAGTCTAACAATCTTGTGGTTAAATACAGGGTCATGCAAAAGTAGGTTTACAGTTACTCATATGGAAAATAATACAATAATTAATAAATACTACTACAAGAATAAACCATGACCCACTTCAGTCCAAGGAAATGTGTGGGGGGTGAGATTTGGGCATTTTTTAGAAGCTCCCCAGTTAATATACTGTGCAGCTAAGGGTGAAAACCACTCCTCTAAGCTAACATATTCTGTAGGGAGCATTATAGGAAGTGTCTGCTGATTTCTCGTCAACCAAACCTGGAAATGTCATCATTTAAGTGATGCTTCAGGATACAGATCTTTTCCACAGAGTATATAATTTAACTTTACTGAAGCAAGGCTTCTCTAAATAGAAATTCATTATTCTACAGAAATATATCTAACTCAGACATGTGCATCATATAAACTCTCTTTTTCTTTATTCCCTTAGCATTTAAGCACACCCAGGCTGGTAGCCCCATTTTCTTACACCTACCCCAGAGTTCCACTTGCTGGACTGGAAATTTGCTGTGGAAATCCACAAAGAGAATAAGCAGCAGAGTTTGTCGCTGAGGGTCCATATTTTGAGACTGATCCCCCCTCACTGGATTCCACCTGATAACTCACATCTGGAAGCACCATATCTAGAGGACAAGATATTACCTAGTATATTAAGGTAAGTAGAGCTCTCAAAATGCTAACTGAATAAAGAACCTGTACCTCAAACAAAGGAGGATCTGAGATAGATCTAAATGTGAATATTCCCTTCTCCTCCTCAATTTGTTTCTCCGTCCACATGATGGAAGCCAAATAATAGTGATTCACAGGAAGAACACCAAAGTAACAGCCAGGTGTGCGAAATACAAACCAAAGAGCTCTCCTTGGCATTCACTGGGAAGCATTTACAATTCATGCATTCCTTATGCAACTTTCTAAGGTAACTATTGTAAGAGGCAGAGGTCAGAGTCAAATCTGAGTCATAATAACAGCTATCTTGTATGGAATGCTGAGTACATGCCATATAACATTCAATTCTTTGCATTTAGACTTCACAACACTATGGCATGGGAACTATTGCGCACCTTTACAGACAAGAGGCACAGACAGGTTAAATACATTGCCCGACAGGAGAACCTAAGAGGTGAAATGGTTTTAGAATGACCCTAAAATCTGTGCTTTTAAGCATAATATTACATGATATTTGTATTCCCAAGTAATCTGATCCCCTATGGTCACTTCCTAGTACCTTGATCCTTTACAAGAGTCCTAAATTCCACCTAGATCCATGTAGAGAAGTACCTTGGGTTCCTAGTCTGTCCTTTAGAGTAAGGAATGAGTGAGATAAGGGGGCATTTTCTACATTATTCATTTCCAGAGTTAACTGAGAACATTCAAACATCACAAATTGACAAAAATAAAGGAAACCAACAAAGCATGAAAATAAAAGTGAGAGTGAAAAGAAGATATGAAGAGCCCTAGAGGTTTAAAAATCCTGATGACATGACTTCCTGTTAAGACCAAACATTCTTTCTTCACAAAACCACTTACCTCCAGAGTCCCTGTCCAAGGACACCATCCCTTCAGTCCACCCTCCAAAATACCTACTTACTTAAGAGAAAAGAGCCTTACTCTAAGGCTTACCTCCTAGGTGAAGGTTCTATCATTCCTCCTGAAATACTGCCCCAGCTCAGGAGGTTTCAGGCTTCTAGTGGTAATCACAGTTCTACAGTACCTCTCCCCTGGTGGCCATCTTCCTCAGGAGCCAACTGACCAGACTACCTTCCAAGTTTCACAGGACTCTAGCTAACAACAGTCAAGCTCAACACTGTAAACTTCCTAGACATCAGCTCATGGCTGCATATTCCTATTTGTCTGATTTGTTAGTCCAGTTTTAAGCATCCAACTTTTCAACATAATTCACCCTGAACAAATATTGGTTAGGCTCTACATGAATATTATAGCCAGGTTCTAGGTTTATAACTATGAGATTTATACTCCTGCCTTGCTTGTATTTATGTAGTATTTTAATTTTTCCTAAGTAATTTTAGGCAGATTTTCTCATCTCGTTAGGAAACATTTCTCTTCCATAATTCAAAAATGTAATTGCTCTCTTATTAACCTTTCTAAAACCCCAGAGTTGACAGATTAAGGTACAACAGAAACCTTCTGAAAAGTCCCTAGAAGATGAAGGCCACTGGCTACTTCAAAAGGACCAGAAATAGGGGAGGCAAAGAGGAAGTGAGAGGAGAACCAAATCAACATGTAATGGAAAAAGAGCTAGGATTTGATGGGGCATTCCCTCTAGACACCATTTGCTACACTCTAAGTGGACTCTCAAACTTATACCTGCTGTTTATTTCTTGATAGCCTCCAGTTTCCCTTATCCCTGGGCAGAGAGAGGGAGAGATACCTCTATCCAAACTGAGATCCAAATTGGGCACCAAACACAAATGGTATTTCTTCCAGTCAATTAAATAAGAGATATCATTGAAGATAGTAGTAACTGACTGTTCCTGGCTTGGCAATATCAGAGGCAGACCTGAAGGTCCATATAGAAATATGTATAGGTGCTAAAGAAAACTTCCAAACTTTAGGGGTTTTTTATGAATATGTATTCATTTGCATAGAACAAACATAACAGTACCCTTGTTCACATTCCCAGAAACAAACTAGTGTGCTAGGCAAGTATGTATTAAGCCTTTTACACACTGAAGGTACAGTGTCAGGTACCAGAGACAGATCCACTAGAACCTTCAGAAATTTATTCTGGGTTTAATGTGTGTGAGTTACAGGTACAATATTAGTACAATTAGTTATTTATTCATCCTGCTCATTTGATCATAGATTTGAGTGGCACCCCCAATTAAACACTGTTCTAAGTTCTGGGGATACAAAGATGAATATCCAGATTTAATGCCTATCTTCAAGTTGTCCTATATATAGCATGGGAGACACATGTAAACGTAACTGGAATACAGTGTGATATATGCTAGCATAGAAGTATATACAAAGGAATACTTTCCAGTAAGTATCTGAGTATATTTCGATTGAAAAGGAAAACTCCTTCTCACCTTCTCTAACCCTATAACCAAGACAAAGATGGACAGGCCTCTGAAACGGTTTCCTTGCTCTTGGTTTTCCATTTCCACTCTCATCCTTCCTCTAAGCCAAGGTTTCTCAATCTTAGCACTACTGATACTTTAAGTTAAATAAGTCTTTGTTGTGTGTGGTGAGGGAGGGCTGTCCTGTGCATTGTAGGATGTTAGCAGCATACCTGGCTTCTACCCCTCCCTCCATTCATGACAATCAAAAGTGACTCCAGACATTGCCAAATGTCATCTGAAGGCAAAATCACCCAGTTATGAGCCACTGCTTAACATTTTTGTCCCCTGGACCAAAGTAAGGACACTATATTTTTTCCTTTATTTTTCTTTGTTTTCATTTTTTTAATAGGATAAACACAAGGCACTGAGTGTGAAGATTAAAATTCTTACCCAGTGGACACTGGGGTGTTATGAAAAGCCACAACAGAACAAAGGTTGGCAGTGCCCATAAAGTGTCAATCACAAATCCAAGAACATGAGCTATGGCCAACACATTCACTGGTTAGAGCCAGGAGACTTTAAGGTGCTCAAACTCAAAATAAGAGTAAAGTATCTGAAGAGTCAAAATATGTGATTGTCTTTTAATTGGGTTAACCATTTACATTTAATAAGAATATTGCTATGGTTGGGTTTAAATATACCATACTGTTATCTTTTTTCATTTGTTCCTAGGATTCTATTTTCTTTTTTCTAGTCTTTGTATTCTATTTCTTTGTATTCTATTTTGGATTGGATATATTTCATAACTCTATTTATCCCCTTTTTTGCTTATTAGTTATAGCTATTTGTTATATTAATTTAGGGATTTTTAGGCTTTATAATATACAACTTAAAACTTATCATAGGCTACTTCAAGTGATGTTATAACAACTGACACACATACATTATGAAAATCTTTCAACAATATACTTCTCTTTCTCCCCTCCTCACCCTTATGCAATTGTCACACATTTTATTTCCACATGTTATAAGCCTCAGATGCTGTTGTAATTTTTGTTTTAAAGAATTATCTTTTAGGAAGATTTTAAAAATTGGCAAAATCTTTCGTATATACCCAGATAGTTACTATTTCTAGTGCTCCTCTTAATCTGAGTAGATCCAGAATTCCAACTGGTATTATTTTCCTTCTGCATGAAGGATTTCCTTTAACATTTCTTACAATACAGGTCATCTGGTAATGAAGTCTTTTGTATATCTGAAAAATTCTTTATTTCACCTTCATTTTTCAAAGTATTATCTCTGCATATAGAATTCCAGGTTAGCAGTTCTTATTTTTTTTTCTTTCATTACTTTAAAGATGTAGTTCCAGTTTCTTCTAGCTTACACTGTTTCCAATGAGAAATCTGTTAGAATTCTTATCTTTGTTCCACTATATATAAATGAATCTTTTTTACTTCCAGCTGCTTTTAAGATATTTTATTTATTACTGACTTTAAGCAATTTGATTATGACATATCTTGGTGTAATTTTCATCATATTTCTTATGCTTAGGGTTCATTAATCTTCTTGGATCTGCTGGTTTACAGTTTTTATCAAATTTGGAAAATTTGGGGACATTATTTACTCAAATATTTTACCTGCCCTCTCTCTCTTCAGGACTCCAGTTACACATTCCTGAACTAGGTCACTTGAAGTTATCCCACAGTTCACTGATGTTCTGTTCATTTTTTTAAAGTCTTTTTTTCTACCTCATTTTAGTTAGTTTCTATTGCTATGTCTACAAGTTCACTAATCTCTTCTTCTACCATACACAAATCTATAATTAATCTCATACATTGTATTATTGTTCCAAAATGGTAGTAATTTTCATCCCTAGAAGTTAAATTTGGATCTTTTACTTAATATAGTCAATTTCCTCTCTTGAACATAAGGAATACAGTTAAACCTGGTTTAATGTCTGTATTTACTAATTCTATCATCTGTGTCATTTCTAGGTAGGTTTCCATTGATTGATGCTTTCCCCTTCCTTATGGATCTTATTTTCCTGATTGTTTTGCATGCCCATTAATTTTTTATGGGATATCCAGCATTGTGCAGTTTACCTTATTGAGTGTGGAATATTTTGTATCTTATAAATTTCTTGATTTTTTTTTTCTGGGACACTATAGAAACAATTTGAGCCTTCTGAGTTTTTTATGCTTTGTTAGATGAGATCATACAAGCCTATAGGATAAGGCTAACTTTTCCCCACTACTCAGGCAAACCCTTGATGCCTTGTGAAATGAAGGTTTCTTTCCTCCCTGCCCAATAAGAACAGGAACTATTTCCAGCTCTGTGCACACTCTAAGGATTCTCCTCTGTCTGAGGCTCTCTCTGTGTCCATGCATTTCTCTCCTCTCAAGTACTCATTTCTATGAATCCTGCCTGCCTGGACCTCCCTGCACTTGAAACTTTGCCTCCTCAACTCAAGAGAGAGTCACCAGATGTATCCTTTCCCTGCATTGTAGCCAGAATATTCTCTCTAGAAAGTATGGTGGGGCAAGCATAGGGTTCGCTTTCTTGTGTAGCCTCTTTCCAGATCCAATGTCCTACACTACTTGTTGTGTACTATATGAAAACTGCTATTTAATGTAATTTGTCCATTTTTTAGTTGTTCAAAGTGGGACATTAAATCCAGTCTCTGCTATTCTATCATGGCTGGAAGTGGAAGTTTTTAACTCCTTGTGAGAAAATTTCATGGGCCTTTGATAGCTTCCTTGTTTTGTGGCCAAACAAGATACCTAGTTTGTCTTGTACATTTCTACCTTTGGCCTAGAGTCAGCTATTTCTCATTTTTAGTGACTAATGGTATTTAGAGAACACATTTTGGGTACTATGAATGCTCACTGATTCTAGGTTTTTTCAGTGCACAGAACTAAGAAATATATAATTTTAGAAGTCAGAAAAATTTGTGATCCACAGTGGTATTTTCAGTTCTACTTTAAGATTACTTTTTAAATGTTATGCTAAATTTTTTGGCTCCCAACCATGTTAACATAATTATTTATTTGCTTTATAATAAGTATACATACAATAATTTCAATATAGTAATACTAACATTATTACTAAAAATCAAGACACTGAATGAATTTTAAGAGTTCTCTGCAGTTCGTTTCACCCTTAGAGAATATTCCATCAAGAATGTACAGTCAAAACACTAAGTTCTAAAGTCAGCTGAATTAATTTTTCTTACTGTATGGATTATAACATTAATATAATTTATAGGTAAGTTCATTACCTTTTACTTTGAGGGATATTTTTACTGGGTATGTAATTCTAGGTTGATGATTATTTTATTTCTAGACATTAACACTATGATTCTACTACCTTCTTTCAGCATGAGCAAGTTAGCTGTCAATATGTTTCTCTTTAGAAGATAATCTGTTTTTCCCTGGCTGATTTTAAGATTTTTCTCTTTGTTTTGATCTTTTACAGTTATGGGTATCTTTTTATTTATCTTGCTTGATTGTTGAACTTTTAAATCTGTTTTAGTTGCTTCAGCCATTAACTCTTCAAATGTTTCTGCCCCATTTTCTCTCTCTTCTCCTTTGGGACATGAACTAGAGGTATATTAGACTGTTTCACTGTTAACCTCTATTCTGTATTTTCCATTATTTTGTCTCTCTTTGCTTTATTTTGCTATCTTATTTTTTAGTTCACAAATTCATTTAAACTGTGAGAAAATAAAGGCTTAGGCTGGTTGAGTAAGTTGCCTAAGTCACAAAGCCAGGTAGTGGGGATCTTAGCATGTACACCCCTGTGCCGTGCTCTAACCAAAGCATATACTATACTTACCTATGGAGAAAACTCTGAGGCTCTAAAATCTGTATATATAAATATGATCACTCAAAATTCAGGATCAAAATGTCTATATAACTGCTTGCCATTTTCAAAGGATGTCCCCTAGGCACCATAAACTCAACATGTTTAAAGCTAAATTAATCTTCTAACAGTCCTCAAATCGGTTATTTATTATTTGCATCTTGTTGACAGGATCATTATTCTGTTGACCATCCATGGAAATCTTTTTGAACAGCCTTGAGATTTAATTCATATATCATATCATATCATATCATTCATTCATTTAAAGTGTACAATGAAATGAGTTTTAGTATATTTGAGCAGTGGTACAACCATCACCACCATCCATTTTAGGACAATTTTATAACCCCCAAAATAACCTCTTCCCATCTAATTTCTGTCTCTATAGATTTGCCTGTTCTGGATACAGAAATCCTGATGTCAGCCTTAGCCATTCCCTGCCCCTAATCTCTCACTACTCCAACAACAAATTGATTACTTCATTATGTTGATTCCTTCCAGCAATAAGTCTCTTAGTCTCTCCTTTTCATACTCCACACACTTTTAATTCAGGCACTGAATATCTCTTGCCCAGTTCACTTACTTACATACTTACTGATTACTGACTTCTCTGCTCCATCCATCATGCAAAATGCTGCTAGAAACTCCTAAAACATTCAGTGGTTTCCTACTATACAGAAAATAAAGTTCACGCTCTTTAGTGTAGCACTCAAGATCCACCATATTCCACTCAAAACAACTCTTCCAGCCGCATCTCTCCCGCCTGCACCATTCATTCCATGCTTCAGTCATATCAGATATGAAATGAGTGTGGCATATGTGGCACATCTTACAGTTTTAAGTTTCTTGGGAAAATTCTCAAAGTTAGCTTTCACATTGGATTTTTGTTTTTATACAAATCATATTGGCTTTTAGACACAGAGTTTATATGCTAAAGGCTTTTCTAAAATTGGGACATAATAATTCATTTTCAAAGACAATTCTGTCGTGAAAAGGATATGGAAACTGAAGAAATTCTATTTGGCTGGTTGAAAAAGATCTTTGGGCAGGGACACACAGCAGCAGCCGGAGTCAGTGTCAGCTCTCCCAACAAGTCCGTGCCAGCCACATCACCGGGGATGAAAAGCATTACTGAATGTCCTAGAACAGGATGGATTCTGCTGCAGAGTAACTGAGTTGTACCTAATTTTGGCCTACTGTAAAAAAAACAGGTAAGACAAATTTAGCTTTTCCCTCTTAAGAAATTCTTTTAAAAAGCATTCAAAATTCCTCTTATAGTCTCTAGCATATGCATAACTATATAAACTGCCATATCGGTTTTGTTGGAGTTTATGATTCCCGCTCAAGGAATCACAAGCAATAGACGGAGTAAACAAACTGGCATTTCAGGAATGGTACCATGGCTCCTGCTTTTACAGCCACAAGTGCCAGTTTTATATTCTCAAAAATGTATTTCATCCACTGAAATTACTCTATGGTTCTAAGCAGATGTTTCCAAGATCATTCAAAGATCAGCATGGCTGAAGTGGAAATGAAGGAGGTTCTTAATCACAAATAACCTAAAACTGGTCTCATAGGAGTAATGAGAAAACATTAGGACACCTTTCTCTCCTAGAAAGAATCTAATGAAATTTAATATTTGCTTACTTTACAACACTCTTTTCTAAACACAAAAGAAATATTAACGGACCTTTTCCTCTCTAAATTAATCATGTCACCCAGGGAAATGTGTCCATAATCTATGATAACAAGATGTCTACCTATAAGGAATGTATGATACTAGAAGATTACTAAAGAAATATGTGGAGAAATATGTGGACATCTTTAGTAATCTTCTACATGGAGTGGTGGTTTTGTTTCCTGCACATATTTAAGAATAAAAAATATTCTAATCTGAAGTATAATTTTGGACATGCATAAGAAAACAGACTTAAAAACAATGAGCAGTCCCTTCAAGTCTTAAGGTCCTATGACTACCAGTGCTGTTTAAGAAGATATAAATGAAGGCAGAAACTATTGAATAAAAAAATAAATTAGTTGGATTTAAACATAATTTTTTTCTTGCTATAATTTCTGTTCACTTTGGATTCTGTGGTAGTTGAATAGCACCGAAGACAAGGCAAAATGTTCTGTCTATTCCACATTATATACCACATCCTCCATGGATTTTTTTGCAGTCTGAAGAAGGTAGAGGTAGGGACAGAGATAATTTCCAAACCTATGCAAAATGCTGATGCACAAACAATACACAAAGAATTCCTCTGTATTCACAGTATCTCTCTAGCCAAGAATTCAAGTAACTTTTTAAAAATTCAATCCTCTCTTTTTATGTCTAAATGGGATTGGAATTAGCAGGGTATGTTTTATTTCATTTACAGAAGAAAATAAGGCATAGAGAGGAGAAAGAACATGTCCTTGGGTCCATCAGAATATATTCAAAGAGCCATGAATAATAATAGTTTTCAATACAATTGGCTTAAAAGTTTTACTTTCACTTTTCTGACAGAGTATCTGACATCTGGCAGAAATGGCAAGTGAGACCATTTTCAATTTCTGCCACATTCATACTCAGAATGGGAGAGTAAAACATGGAGAGGGACAGTGATGCTTGCCCCTATTCACCTCATATAATGCTGACAGTTTACGACAAGAGCAATTCCATTCGACAGGTTCAAAGTAGGTTCATTCTCTGACCTGCAAAGCAAAGAAAGGCTAAGCCATATCTCAAAGATTCTAATACCAATTTCTGCCTGATACAAATTTTGATATATGACTATTACCACCCCCAGCGATTACTGGAATTCAGCAACCTATTAACCAGGGCTAAATGACAATTTTTAAGTTCACCCACTCTAGTGAAAGGGAAAGACATAGAAGGCTTAGATGAATCTATTTACTCATCAAAAGCCAATACAGAATAAGTGTAGGGGTCTCAGAATATTAGTTTCAAAGTGACTTTGGCTCAACGAATCAATCTTTGAACCTACTGGAAATAGGACAATAATGACTGAGAAAAGTGGTAGAGCCATGGATTTAAGGACTTACCCAAAGATTTCCGTAGAGAGGATTCCATTCATCTTTACACTGAAATTAAATCTAATCTACGAAATAAATGGTGTGAGATTTAATATGAACCAGGATAGAGATGAAAAACTTCTATACTTAATTCCTAAAGGAGATATTCTTTATATTACCCTTTTTTTCACTATCCCGAAACATAATGAACAATTGTCTGTGTTTAAATTCTGCATCTTAAATATATTGCATCCAACACTACAATTCCAAGTAGTCACAAATTATCAGGAAATCCTACTCTTTTGTTCTTCGCTGTTCCCCCAATGTATCTTCTTCCCCTTCTTAAAGGAACTATCCATTTTTCTCCCTATTCTTTCCATTGTTAATCACACAAGGAATATTCCATGCTTTTTTCCCCTTTGCTTCTTCTTCCCTGCCCCATCTGACTTTTTTGTCTTCCCTCCAATTTATTTCACTAACTATTTCCTACCTTCAACCTACATTTTTCTTTCTATATAACATAAAGAGTAATAAGGAACTCCAGAGCCAGACTGTCTGTGCTCAGATCCTGGCTCTGCAGTGATTTAACCTATGTACCATCGTTTCCTCACCTATAAAATGGGGATGATGATAACACCTGTTTCACGGAGGGCATTATGAGGTTTGAATGAGTAAGTGTGTGGAGGACATTTAGAATAGTAACTGGCAAAAACTAAGCACTGAACTTTGCTGACAACAAAAAAAGTAGGATGACAACAAGAGAAAAAAAGGGGGGAAACTATATAGTAAACTTAGCTGTGTGCATCTTTAGAAATATATCTAACTACAGATAATAATAAAAATTTTGCTCTGAAAAGTTCAAAGTATCAAAATTTCCTTATTTGCTCTTACTGTCACTTTAGAAAAGGAGATAATTAGCAAGGTTCATCAGCCAAGCTTAACAGAAAAATGAAACAAAGGAGGGAAAAAGAGGTGCCCAAAGTGATACAATAAAACAGTAAAGAAGTGAAAATAAGAACCCAAAAGAGAGCTCTCTCTATATCCAAGGGCTCCCAGCTATGTCCCATGAGCAATACCAAGACTGCCTTAGGGGCATAGGAACCAAATCAATTCAATATTAAATTCAATATTTCTTTTAATGAAAACAAATCAGATCCTTCCATATTTTACAGAGCAGAGATATCTTGAAAATGTGACTTAAATAAGAGAACCTTTATTGTTCAAAAGAACAGCTTACCTTAGGGTGCACCATGATAATTTTGCGTAAAAAATTCTTTATAACCAGACTATCTGTCATCAAATTTCTTGGCTTTTCATCAACCTGTAACAACACAACAAAACATCCACCACACATACACAAACCCAAAAGTACAAGCGAATCAAATTATGGTATTTCTTCCTATAAAAGTAGCACCTCAAAGAGCTTTGCAGACATCAAAGGGGAAACATCTTTGGGTCTGAGAATTGGACAAAAAAGGAATCTAATAGCCATTATTTCTTTGGTTAAAGTACTTATTTCATGGAACTTCAGGAGACACGCGAACAATGATCAGAGTAAAACCAACAATCTCAAAATCACCTTTTGGAAAAAATTTAAAAGTAATTTAAAATTAATTCAGACTGCAGCTGCGAAGAGTAACCCTGTCTTAACTCAACCATCCTGATGTGGGTCAGCTTGTATTAAGAATATGGAATGGCCCTGGCTGGCATGACTCAGTCGATTGAGCGCTGACCTGCAAACCGAAGAGGTCGCTGGTTAGGGCACATGCCTGGGTTGTGAGCCAGGTCCCCCGCTGGGGTGTGTGAGAAGCAACCAATTTGATGTATCTCTCCTACATTGATGTTTCTCTCCCTCTCTTTTTCCGCCCTTCCCCTTCTCTAAAAATAAATAAAACCTTTAAAAAAAAGAATATGAATGACGTTAAAGGAGTAGACACTGAAAGAAACTTATTTTTTTAATGTGAACCCATTCTTTCAAACATTTATTTTTAGGGGAAAGCTGTACAGCAAAAAGCTCAAAAGCCAGAAAACCTGTGTTCTAGCATTATCTCTGTAAAAATTACTTGAGTAACTGTGAATTAAAAAAACAATCACTTAACTGCTCTGAACCTTATTTCCTAATCAGCAAAAGAGGGGTAAAACTTACCTTTTTTATGTAGTAAAAAGTTTACAGAACTATTTTAAGGATGAAACAATAATCTAAAAGTACATGTTATATACATGGAACAATAATAGATACCACTTGTTGAATGCCTACTATGTGGCAAGCATTGTGCAGGTGCTACATAGACATTACCTCACAACAATCCTGGAGGCAGGTGTTTACTCCTTTCTTTGTAGATTAAAAACAAACACTAACCGAGGCTCAGAGAAGTTGAGCAACTTGCCTAAGGTCACTGAGCTCTTCAGTGACAGAGCCAGAGTTTAACCCTAAGTCTACTTAAAATCAATTGTCCATTTCCAATATACCCTGACACCTCCCTACAAATATAATAAGACTTACCATTCAATAAAGGCTTTCTCTATTCCAGGAATGGTCTAAAGTATCTTACTTATATTACTTCATCACCCCCTACAACACCCTAATAGGTACGTAAAACCCACATTTTCTGGAAGAAAAAAGTGAGTCTCAAAGAGGTTAAAAACTTTCCCAAGGGTACCTAATTTGGTTCCAAAGCTTTAGTATTAATCACTTCCCTATGCTAACTACCTATATTTAATATAGTGTCCCTAAAACCAAAGCCAGAGAAAGTCTCCTAGAAAAGGGAGAAGTCCAAGGGAATAAGAAGAAATAGAGTTGGGAAAATCAGGTAAGATCTTATTGGTGACAGAGCCATGTCACCAGAATACAGAGCCATGTACTGGGTACATATTAAAAAAAGAAAATGGTCCAACCTCAAAATCTCATAATACAATAAAGAGAAACATATAAATATCTAATAAAGACTTGTAATATTTTTATGAGTACATTGAAAAAACAATCAAGAACTGTGTGATGGGTGGGGATAATTAGAAAAAAACATAAAAATATTAGAAAAATTATTAGAAAAATGAATGAGAATTATTAGAAAATTCTGGAAAGAAACCTAGGATTATTAATTTACATAAATAATGGTAATTAAGTGATAACTGCAGCACACATTACAGTCACATCCTTCATTTAAAAATTTTTATTATAAAATGTTCAAACAGAAAAGCAATGGTCTCCTAAAAGCATTTCCTGTGCTTAACACTTCCAAAACAACTTCTTGGAACAGTTTCAAACTTCTGTAACCTTGGTGATTATAGGGTGTACCACAGAAAGGGCTAATTATATCTAGCAGCAAAGCAACCAAATAAGTGAAAGTTCCTTGAGCAGCTACCAGAGAGGAGCTACAATTAAAAATGATGAGAGTTACCATTTATTGAACACCTGCTACATGACAAGCAGTTTATATGCAAGCAGGAAATACCCCCATTTTATTGATGAGGATAATGAGACTAAATAAGTTAAGTCATCTGCCTAAGGTCCCATAGAGCTAGTTAAGTGGCAGAACTGGGATTCAAACCTAGATCTGACCAACTCCAAACCCCACACTTCACTATGCAATGCTGCCTCTCCAAAGAGTGTTCATTTTCTATGCATATAGCTATCTGAATCAGATATTACATAATCTATCATTATTTTTTATGGCTCTTGACAGGCAATGCTTACATGTAACTACTGAATATATGTATTTACTCACTCATGCAACACTTAATGTGGCTTATTATGTACCTGGACCTACAGAGATAAATAAAACAATCTGCATCTGAAGAACTCACAGTTAAGTAGAAAAGAAATACAAATAAATCATTTTCATAACAATGTAAAAAGTATCATGATTTAGATGTGTAAGAGATGCTAAAACAATACAAGGATTGGAACCTCATCCAGACTGAGAAGATAAGAGACCTACTGTCAGGTCAGCAGAGGATACTTAACACAAAGCAAATAGCTTCTTTTAAGATCTACTCATAAATTATTGACACAGACAGACAGACAGACACACTCTGAGTGCAATGTCTTTTATAGCCTTTTATAATTGGGTGTTAGAAACCCAGTACTCCAGCCTGACATACCTACAGAAGCAGTGAATTTACTTAAGTGTTAGGAAAAAATACATGCTACCAGCCCTGAGCAGCAGAAACACTATTAAATTATATGTTCCAGCCTTCACCTTTAAATATAAGTTTAATTATATGATAGAATATGGGAACTGCTTTATATTTTGAAAAACAAACTTATGCAGTCATGGGCCACATATGACTTTACAGGAGAAAGTCAATCAGTGTGTCTGTCTCGTTAAATAGATAATAGATTGATAAATACAAAGATCAATAGGTATAAATACAGAGATATGTTTGTATGCATATACGTATATCTCTACCCATTTTATCATTTACTATTATGGCAAAAATAAATATAAAAATGGATCAAGATGTCAAGAAGATCTTTTAAAATCAAATTGTTTTTGGAGGGACATGTTATCCAGGCTCATGGACCCCAAGGATGCAGGACTGACTCGACATAACCAAAACCTCCCTGCTCTCTCCTAAATGAAGCTTTCTTCAATCTTCTCTGAGATTATCTCTCCTCACATGCTCGAAGTAGTGAATCATTTATTATAGCTTTTTTAAAAAATTGATTTCAGACACAGAGAGAAAAAGGGGTGGGGGGAGAGGGATGGATTTCTTGTTCCACTTACTTATACATTCATTGGTTGATTCTTGTATGTGCCCTGACCAGTGGTCAAACCTGCAACATTGGCGTATCAGGACAATGGCTTTAACACAGCTACCCAGTCAGGGTTTCTTATAGCTTTTTCATCGATATCTGCTATGAATCTTGCTACTTGACCCTTCTCCCCAATTGAGTTATATATAATGAAATCTTTCACAATCTCCTCTCGCTCTCTTCATTCAAATACCTTTTAAATACCTGCCGAGCACTAAAGACAATGAGACATAATGGAAAAAAATGCTTTCAGGAAATCCTTGTTCCTCTGAGATTATAATACTCTTTTATAAACTTTCTTCATCAGTCACCACATCCAAGTAGTTGACTAAGTCTAAGCAGGAACTTAGTCTCACAATTCCCGGCCTCTTCAACTCCAATGATCTTGACTTCTACTCATTTCCAGCCACTATTTCCATAGCCACAGCTTGGAACTGTATGGTTCTGGAAACCTTAAACTGAAATGTCCCACTCTTATGTGAAAAGCTATATACCAAGATATTAACCTTGATTACGTAAAATTATTTGTGTTCTAAATGCTCACCTTGATTTTCCTGAGAGAAACACTACTTGAAGTGGGGCGGGGGGGGACTTTATAACTCTGATGACAACTTCCTATTCTTTCAAGTTTCTGAACCCCTTATATCCAGAAAAACTGTTTTTCAGCCTCATCGAGACTTCTAGGTCATGACCTCTTCCCACTGGGTTAGGTACCCTTCTTCTATACCACAACATTCAGTGCTTACCTTTATCATGATACATATTACATTGTATTGAATTATTTGTTTGTCTGTCTTTTCCCTTAGATTTCAAGTTCCTTGGGATCAAGTAACATGTTTTGGAACTCTGTATCTTCTAGCATAGTGAGGTCAAATTGAACAGAAACAAGTTTCTGAATGAATGGATTCTGAAACAGTATTGATTAATCAGTAAGACTGGTTTAAATTGTCACTTAACTTTTGTAGGACCTTCAGAATGTCATTCAAATTCTGAATCTCAGTTTTCTTATCTGTAAAACGGTGATAATTCTTGTCCTATTCACTTTATAGAGTTTTCAGGAGGCTTAACTAATATATAAATGTTAGATATAAGAATTATCATTGTTTGTTCAGACTGGCTAAAGCATGTGCTCTCCTTTTCTAGAACTGCTTTCCTTGGTTCACTGGTATCAGCCTTTTTATTGCTATTTGACATTAATAGCTTCAGAGCTGACTAACCATTAATTGCTCCAGATTGTTTACTGTTCAGTTCCCCTAAATAAGATAAGGCACAGCCAGGGGATATCTGTTGTCCCCATTCCTTTTAGAATGTGCATATAATTGTTCAAATATGGAGAAGGCCTCCCAAGTGCTTCTTGGAAGAATGTTTAAGGTACTCCAATTTTTTATGTCTCCACCAACTCAAAGAAAGGAAAGATAGAGGACTGGATAATTGTTAAAGGCAATGGAGAACTCAACTGTCACTCATAAATCTGGGCTACAAATAAATCAATAAAACTCTTTAAACCAATATTAAACAATGTATTCAAATAGGATCTGCACTAGGAATCCATTTTTATTTTCTTTTTCAGGAGATCCAAATTTAAATACTGTCTTGTTTCAGTGGTTCTCAAACTTACCCGCAAATTAAGAATCATTGGGATTTTTAAAATATTCTGAAGCCCAGACCACACCTGTTATGGACTGAATTGTATCCCTCAAAATTCACATGTTGAAGCCTAGCCAGCCATGTGACTGTATGTGGAGGTGGGGCCTTGAGGATGTAATGAAGTGTAAATGAGATCATAAGGGTGGAGCCCTAATTCGATAGAACTGGTGTCCTTATAAGAAGAGGAAGAGACACCAGACAGCTCTCTCCAGATATGTACAGAGGAAACACCATGTGAAGAAACAGTGACAAGGCACTTTGATCTTGGACTTCTAGTCTCCAGGAGTAAAGGAAAATAAATTTCTGTTGTTTAAGCCACCCAATCTGTGGTAGTTTTTAGGACAGCCCATGCAGACTAATCCAATATCCTAGACCAATTAAATCAGAACCTTTTGGAGTGGGACACAAATACTAGTGTTTCAGAAGCTCCCAGGTGATTTAAAACCTGTGCAGGGAAGTTTGGGAGCCAATGCTTCATTTCAACTTGGATCTGTGATGAACGTATGCTTTTCTTTCCTGCTATTAGATTTGTACAAAAATAAGAATCAAAACATCAACAATTTATAGACCCACAACAAAACCTGCCTCAAAAGTCATCTGGAAAGGTGTTACCCTTGATGTGTCCTGAGAATAGCTGGCTTCTTCCGAAGTCCAATTCAGTTTTGCAGAGAAACCAGGCAGTATAGATTGCATTCCTGTGTAAGGAGACATGGTGACAAAATAGAACAAGCAGTTTGGATAAGCACCAGAATTTCTGGAATTGTTTATTAAACTTAAGAGCCAAGAAGGCTTTTCCCTGATGAAAAGATTATCTGCAAAATTTAAACTATGACTGGAAATAGCTATGCATCAGCAAATTGCTTGAACATTTAGAATTACATTATAGGGTTAAGACATTTAATTCCATGTTTTCAATTTTTCCCATTCGTTAAATCATTTGTGTTTTCAGTTAATTTCCACAAGGTCATACCCAATGCCAGAAAGCTTCAGAGCTGATAGCTCTATCTGATATTCTTGTATTTTTACTAAATAAATTCATTATTTAATAAACACACACTCAGTAAATGAGCTTATTTAGAACCAAAAGCAGAAAAGTTCAAGAATGACCCTCTCAGGCATTTACCCAGTACAGTATGTTGTTTTTAAAGATAATCTTTAACAAAAAAGCAAACCTTGCTGTTTTAATTAATAAATTAACCACTTGGTGTATTTACATGTATTGACTCAACTATCTTTCCACAAGGCATCAGTGAGTCCTGGGTCATCATCATCAAACAGATCTCAAGGTATGCACTGCCCTTCTTCCTTTCTGTACTCTGGCACTCACATTACAAAAGGAAAAAATGAATTTCCCAATTTATAAAATGCCATCACTTATTTTCTCTCTACAGTGTTATAAAGGAGAACTAAATATGAATAAAAATAGATATCTGTCTCTGCAAGTTCTACCTTGTAAATGAGGTTGCCAATGTTAATATTATACAAGAACCCAACTTTAAAAATGTAATAACAATAAGCTATATCCCAAAATAACAATACAATTTCTCCTAAAGCATTCATATTACATACCTAATAAAGCTTTAACCATCTCAAAAAGTATGGACATTACCAAGATCAAGTTCTAACTATCAGTCTTAATGAGTAATATTTTTCTTGCCATTAGTTTGTTTTTTAATATATTCAGTCACATTCAAATCCAGGGTAATATGGCAGCAAGGTTATGCAACACTGAAGTTTAATGAACTTGGCACTGAACCAGAATGACTTGCGTCAATCTTCTGACAAGGGGGAGAGAGAGCCAGAGAGAATCATCGATGTGAGAAAAAAACATCGATCAGTTGCCTCTCATACACACCTCAACCCTGGATCAAATCCACTACCTAGGTAGGTGCCCTGACCGGGGATCAAACCTGCAACCTTTTGGGGTATATGGGGATAACACTCAAACCAACTGAGCCACCCAACTAAGAGCGTATGTTTGTATTTTTTTTTAATCCTCACCCAAGGATATGTTTATTGATTTTGGAGACAGAGGAAGGAGGGAGAAAGGAGGAGGAGGAAAGAGAGAGGTAAGGCCTTCCATATGCATCCCAACCAGGGATCAAACATCAAACCTTCAACGTATTTTCAATAGTGAAGTACTATTAGATAAACTTAACAGGGAAAGCAGTAAAGAAATATTAAGGAAGCAAAAGAAGACAAATTCATTTATTTTAACTTCTTTTGATCTTTCATTAATCTTCTCTTTATTAAATCTTGACATGTATTACGCAAATCTAGCAGCAAGAGACTGTTTAGAACATATCAAAAGCTTGAAGATTAAGTGTGAATTTACAGGGTAACCAATGACCTATGAGAGTTCACATACTCTCCCTTACTTCTAAACCTAATATATGAAGCTGAAGTAAGTCTCAGTTTCCTTATCTCTGAAACAGAAATGGTGATAACACTGAAGTCTGACCTACCTCTCAAGAATGAATGAGATCATGAGACTCTCAGCCAAGATGGAGGCATAGGTAGATACAATTTGCTTCCTCACATAACCAAAAGGACAACAAATTTAAAAACAAAAACAACCAGAAATGCCAGAAAATCGAACTGTATGGCAGTCTGACAACCTAGTAGTTAAAGATAAAATATTCATCCAGACTGGTAGGAGGGGCGGCAATGGACAGCCATGGCAGAGAGGACGCTTGGGAAGGCAACAGACTGGGCAGGCAAGGCAGCAGCTGCCAGACCAGGCGGTCCCACATTTGTATGCAGATTAACCAGGAGGAACAACTGGGGGAGTGAGAGAGACCATACAACCCAGGGTTCCAGCGCAGGAACTTAAAGCCTCAAAACCTCTGGCTGTAGAAATTTATGGGAGTTGTGGTGGTGGGAGAAACTCCCGGCCTCACAGGAGAGTTCATTGGAGACACCCACAGGATCCTAAAACGTATACAAACTCAATGTTGAGCAAACCTGGACCCATCAATCTCTTTAACATACAAAAAGTGCAATTCCTCATTTCCTTTCCCAACAAATTAACAAAGATGACAAAACAAAACTAAACATTAAAAAAAAAGTCTCCATGATGCCAAAAGGACGAAGTACAGGAAATAAACAAAAACTGATCATAACCATATCAACAATAAAGCTATCTCCCCTAATTTCAAGGGCTGGTATTCTTATCTAGTGCTTTGAATTAAAAAATAAAAAGATATCAACAAACATGGGAATGAGGAGATACTTTAAAATATTAAAAAATAAATAAAAATGAGTAGACGAGACAAGAAAGAAGCAGCAAAATAAACAGAGGCCTATAAATACGGCTCTTTTCATATTGCCCCGTCTCATCAGTCTCTTCTACTTCTAGCTTCTAGACCTGGGCAAGAAGGACAAACTAAAATGTTTCACCAAACAAATATTTATGATAGAGGTAGTTCTACATAAATGGATAAATGTATAAATAAATTAATATATAAATGTATTTCTACATAAATAGACAAGTATGTGATGCAGAATAGGATATATTAATATAAAGTAATGAGAATTTTTAAACACAAGGATTTATCTAGCTTGATGGGCACCATCCTTCAAAGTACAGAAAATTATTCTAATTAACAGAGGACCTCAAATCTGGTCTGAGGTATTTTATTCTAATAATCAGGAGGAACATAAAACTATGTTTAAGTTAATATATATAATTTAATATATAATAATCCTATAGTATAAAAGCAGAATTTATAAAAATTTCAGTTAAATTAGATAATGGAGAAATGAAAATGGAGAAACCCCCCAAAAAAGGCAAAAAAATTTAAGCCTAGAGAATTATGAGAATGGAGATACTACACAGCAAGTTAGTTTTCAAGAAAATGAACCCCTTTTTAGATATGTTGCACATGATTTTTTAGAGGAACCCTCAAATGGAGTAATAGTCTAATTGACAATCAAAGCCAAGCATGTTAATAATATAAAAAAATAATTTTCATCAGAATAGAAACGATAGTTAAAGCCTTAAAAGCAGAAAAGCTATCTGAAGTAAATGTAGAATAATAATGCAGAATAATGAAGGGAAGAAAGGCATATTGGTGACTGAACTTTAGGAAATATCTTCCAAGTTACCAAATGAGCACCTTGAACGTTCATACATCCATTGTAGTTCTCACTGCACTGTATTTTCAGAGTTACCTCTCCCTGTGACTTCCTTATGACAAAGTAGATGTTCAATAAAAATTTACTGGATAAAGGTATAAATAGTTAGGGACCAGAGAAGAAAGAAAACAAAAAAGAGAACACAGCCCATTAGAAATATAGGAAAATAAGGGGTTTTTGGTTATTGTTTATTAATCCAGCTTAAATAAAAACATCCAGAAATATGAGCCTGTTTGTAAAGCAATTGATCTGAAGTATTCCAGATCCAGAGAAAAATCACCTTGATATAACCCTGATAGAATAGACTGAAAAGTAAGGAAAACTGCTCTTGGGTGGTTCTACAATGTACAATTTCCCTAAAGAAACGTCAGACCTTATTTTAGGTAGAGAGAAATCAACTGAGCAATGAAGCAGGTAATGTAGTTACCAAACTGAATTCAAAGGCATACTACTGATTGTGTACAGGTATATAATTCTTTACATCTAGAAATCTAATGGTTAATGAATTAGCCACCAGAGTTAATTAAGGAATACTAAGATTTGTGAATGGACCAATTTAAAGCAGTTTGTTAATGTTACAGGAATGCTACATAAATGACAATAGAAATAAAAGCATACTGAATGATGTATAATCCAGAAAGCTAAGGGATTCAAATTTTGATTTTGGACAATTTCCTTTGTGAGCTTCAATGAGTCATTTCTGTTGCTAATTAGTAAAAATAAGCAGCATTACTGAGTGGAGATTTGTAGTATTAAGAGTTCTAATGTCCAAAGAGAAGACAGGCTAAAGGCGGCTACTAAATGTGATTAAAAGACTGGATTTTTATTGGGTACTTGATGTGTAGTACTTCCTCTTTGTACAAAAGCCACCTCTGTTTTATCACAAGAGTATAAAAATAGATTAAATAAATATGCATACAGTTACTTTGTGCTCCTAAATGACAAATTAAAACTAAGTCACCATGAAACAGTCTAACATCTGTATTAGCATAATAAAAAGGTGGTTATTCCATAAACTATACTCAATTCAGTATCTTCTCTCTAGTATTAACAATGATAATAAAACCCTTTTCTTGTACTTATATGACTTTTCACTTTTTTTCAAAGCACTTTCACAAACATTAACCAAAGGTAGCATTATGTATGATCAGACTACTGATTGTATAGGCATGTTAAGTATAGGTTTATGTTGCAAGAAATACTGCTATCCTCCTCCCTAGTGCTAATAACATACTCCCTTCCTTTCAAAGCATCTTCACACATATTAATTGGAGCAGGAGCATTATGAATGATCTTTCCATTCTTTGCATCATCTCAAGGGCACAATCCAAAAAAGAAGAGAACTAAATATTGATAACATATTCAATAATTTTGAGGCAGTCAACTCATAATTCTTAAATTTGGATTCAGATTTCCCAAAAGTCTTAAAATCGGAGCAAACTCTCCAGGACAATAAGCTGATTTTCTCTTTTTTCCAGGCATAAGCTTTGGGAGGCAATAGAATTACAAGATTAAGATATTTTACATGTAATCGTAAGGGAAGAAACCAAATAGATCTTGTTGACCACTGTAACCCCTCGGTGTAGAGCACAAGGTTCAGTGCATAGTAAATGCTCGGTAAATCATTGTGATTATTTTTATAGGGAGAACATTTTGCCCAAGCTCCCACAGAATATGTTATGGAGCTAAAAACAAAAATCTGTATTTTTTTGTTTCATTACTTTTCCTCCACAATTACTGCTTTAAAAAAATCCACTGGTAATACATTTCATAACATTTATTTTATAACATTATATATTTCTAATGCAGCTTTCTGGTTGTTTTCATATTCAACACATGGCATATTTTCTTAAAGCAATGACAAATGTAATTTAAAAAAACAAAACTCACCACAATCTACTTACATTCCAAATTTAGTTGGGGAAATTTTCTTTTAAAAATAATTTTGTAAAATTTGTAAATAAACCATTCATCAGGAAAAGCTAGGCCTATTGGATAATACTTATAAACCACACAACCATAGAAGATAAAAATGAAAGCACAACAGTTCTCAGATCAATCATATTAGTCTCCTTAAAATAAAAGTATGTCCTTTAGCTTGATCATTCTTAAGTCGAAGGAAATAACTTCTAAAACCAAAGTTATTGAAAGCTCCTAAATCATACCAACTCTGGCATGGTGAAAACAGTATTTATAGTAGCCAAAATCATTTATGGTAAAAGGATTTTCCATACATTATTTCTTTGAGGTAGATGGGAACAAATGCTTTGCTAAAAGCTTTATTTTACATCTGGGTAAATTTTTCCTAAGGTTGCATACAGACTATTAAGAGAAGCTACAGAGACCTAGGTATCTTTTCCATGCCTGTATCTGTACAATTTTATAGATCACCTTCCAGTAGGACTGCCCAATAAAATACTGAATGGAACATACTAAAACAATTATTCACTATTTATCTGAAATTTAAATTTAAGTGAGCATTCTGTATTTTTATTTGCCAAATCTGGCAATCCTAGCTTTCAGTATAAGTCTGTTTCAGAAAATACCAAATTCATCGCCAGGAAGGATTTAGTCCCATGGAAAAGGTAAAGGAAACTCTTTACCTTTTAGAAATGTCTTGCAGACCAAACCACCACAAATGCTTCCTGCAGAAGCAACTGTAAAAAAAGAAAAAAAGGAAATATCACAAATAAAACAATTAAATGGATTTTATCTAAAGAATCAAATGCGAGCCTGAAAACACTGCTTATAGATACAACATAAAAAGAGGTGACCACTACATCCCTGACTGGTGTGGCTCAGTGGGTTGGGCGTCATTCTACAAACCAAAAGGTCACCAGTTCAATTCCAGTCAGGGCACAGGCCTGGGTTGCAGGTCAGGCCCCCGGTTGGGGTCATGAGAGAGGCAACGAATTGATGTTTTTCTCCCTCTCTTTTTCCCTCCCTTTCTTCTAAAAACAAATAAATAAAATCTTTTTTTTTTTTAAAGTGACCACTACCAATGAAATTCAGTAAAACTGGAGGCACCAAAGAGAAATTATGATGCTACCATGACTGTTTGGGCGACAGAACAACTTCTTGGAGATTTGACTAAATAGCAAGTCTTTCGGCTATATTCAATGCCAGGACTGCCTCTTTGGATATTACTATTCCTAGTAAAAAGGATTATAGGAAAACTGAAAGCTGTAGCTGGTCACCAAAATACATTACGCCAATCCATATTCCATATTCAATACTGAACCCATATTCCAATATGGATTCAATATGGAGCCCATATTCCAATATAAGATTCAATTAAAAATTTTGGCCCCTCTTTTAACCAGTTTACTCTTTAGTAGGAAATACTTGACTAGACTATCAGTTAAGAATTCTCTGTACCTAAAGTTCTAAATCTGAACATTACAATATTTGGAGCAATAATTCTTCAGGGAAAGAGGGTGAGGGAAGAAGTAGGCGCCCAAGAAGGGAAAAAGATGAGACCCATATGGAGGCTTTTTTCCAAATTGAACATGCCCTTCTCCTGAGGAATGTGACTCGATTGTTGAGAATCTAAGAATCACTGCCTCAGGGACCAATAAAAGTATGTCTCGCCCTCAAGAAATGTGTATTCTTCAAGATAAATTTTAAAAAATAAATAAACAAAATTTAAAAAAAAAGAAATGTGTATTCTTCAAGTAGGGAAAAAAGGTTGAGAATCACTGAACTAGAGTGAGAGGCAACAGCATTCTCTAAATGTGTGTTATCCAATAGAGCAGGCACTTACTACATGTGGCTATTTAAATTTAGCTAAATTAAATGAAAACTTCAGTTTCTCAGTCATACTAGCTAGCCGCATGTCAAGTGTTCAATAGCCAGGTGTGGCTAATGGCCACTGTACTGAATAGCACAGACGTAGAGCACTTCCATCATCACGAAAAGTTCTATTGGTTAAGCAATGCTCTAGATCTTCAGGTTTTGGACGATCGAGACAAATGGTATTGCTTCAAAAGGCATGAGTTCAAGTTGCATAGAACATTTAATAAATGACAATGATCTTTCTTCTTAAGATTTTATTTATTTATTTTTAGAGAGAGGAGAAGAAAGCGGGGAGAGAGGTAGAGAAACACTGTGTAAGAGATATATCACGGCCCCCAACTGGGGATCTGGCCCGCAACTCATGTGCCCTGCCTGGGAATTGAACCAGTGACCCTTCTGTTTGCAGGCCAGCAACTCAATCCACTGAGCCACACCAGCCGGGGCAAGACAGTTATCTTTTTTTTCTTTTTTCTTAGTATTCCTCACAGGAATACCCTGGTCCAAACTTTAAGAAGAGTGGATCATTGGGAAAGTATGGCAGGTGGAAGCAGGCCCATACTGGTGATTCGTGAGGAGCTAGAACATTAACAAGAAAAAGAACAAAACCTGTATGTCTTGTAGTGTGTCCATGATATTTCTCAACTGCATATCACACTGTGCCTTCTAACACCTTTTCTTAGTTTTAACAAGTATCATGTCAACAATTGTTGAAAATGGGTCACTTCTGGTGCACATGCTCAAAGAAAGCAATCACTCCACACCCCATCCAGCCCCCAATTTTCAGCTATATTTCTGTTTCTGTACTAAAGTGCTATCTTTCAAATGTAAAGATGAGAGTGAGACCAATTTGTAGAGCACATTCTTAAAGCAAGAGCATTCCCCAAAGTTTCCTCTATAGAATAGAAGATAATCTTAAAAAAAAATTTTTAAGAGCTATGTGGTCAAATATGTTTGGGAAAAATTATATATAGCCCATTTTGAATGATTCACAGTCCATGCTGGCATAATAAAGGTTCTGAGAAGATCTAAAGTAATAAAATTTCAGATTGCACTTTGTCAAGTATATGATTGTCTAACCCCTATTATGTACACCTGAAACCAATACAAAATAATGATGAATGTAAACTGTAATTGAAAAAATAATAATGAAACTCTTTGATTTTAACTAGCATTCCCCAAATTTAGATGACTACATAACTCCTTTCTCATAACTCATATAAACATCCTATTAGCACACATTGTGAGGAACACTGCAACAAGTAACACTTGTTAAAGGCTTCAACAATTACTGATGGAAAGAAACCATATATTCATCTCTCAGTTTCTCAGGATGAATCATTCTGGTAATAAAATTTGCTGATTTGTTGTGAATTGAATTTTGTGCCTCCAAAACAGATTTTGAAGAGTAAGCCCCAGCACTTATGAATATGACCTTATTTAGAAATAGGGTCTTCATGGATGTTATCAAGTTAAGATGAGATTGGGCCAGACTAGGGTGACCCTAAATCCCAGTGGTATTCGTTATAAGAAGGCCACATGAAAACACAGACACAGATTAAAACAGGGGAGACAATCACATGAAGACAGAAGAGACAGGAGTGTTAAATCTATAAGCCAAGAAACACCAAGGGCCTGCCAGAAGCTAGGAGAGAGTCATGAAATAGATTTCTCCCTCAGAGCCCTAAATGGAACCAAATCTACTGATACCTTGATTTTGGACTTCTAGCCTCCAAAACTGTGAGAAGTAAATTTATTTTGTTTTAAGACGCCCAATTTGTGGTACTTTGTTACAGCAGGCCTAGGTAAATAATATATGGTTCTTCATTACTGAAGATTTCAGCCCAGAGACACCACATCACACTTTCAAGTAAAGATGGCAGATTGAACATACATCTGTCTCTTTTAATTCCTCCTGAAACCTGAATAAAACAATAGAAATGGGATATTTTTCAAAGGGAATAAACCACAAGGATAGAGAATAAAACACAAAAACGATTATAATAAAGTTCTAGAAACTGGAAAGGAGAACTACTGGGAAAAGATTTAGGAGACCCAACAAGCTGAATTATAAGCCAGAAAATGAAAAGGCAAAAAAAAAAAAAAAAAAAAACCCAAAGTATACAACAAAACCCCCAAAGACTCAGGAATTTCAGTATTAGAAACTTCTGGAAGTAGAGGTGGGGTAGGAATTAAAGTAAGAAGAGTCGAATGGAAAAAATGAATTTAGGAAGTATTCAATCCTTTAGATTCCCTCCTCCATTAAGCATTCTAGGGACTGGCCCTCCTTAACCTTGGTGGGGGTGGGGTAAGGTAAAGGTTATTCCTTAAAAAGGTAGAACATGGATCTCTGGGCTGAGAAGAGAATCAAAGTTGTACTAAAAACAAATGGATTGAGAGAACATAAAGACTGAACACTGAGATATCCAACACTCCTCTTATCCCTTAATCCCAGAATGCTGGCATCTGGCTTTCTACCCACCTGGTGAAACAATGACCATATGAATAAAAAAATCTAGAAGAATATATGTTGAATGTTATTTAATAATTATCACAAGGGCTGAGATTACCATAAAAGTCTCACTTTCCATATATATTTCTTTAATGTTGCAGTGTTTTATGAGAAGCACATATCATCTTTTCTCCTACCAAAAAATATGAAAATAATTAGAGAAAGATCAGAGACAGTAAAGAGAAGAGAAATATCCCCTATACTAGAAGAGCTGAAGAAATCCATTAGGGCCAAAATACCTTTGGAATTGGGTTTCTTGCCAAAAGCTATTGTGGCCCATGTCCTTTGCTTTGAATGAAATCAACTTTGCTACCTTGGTAACAGTATCCTGGATTAGAATCAATGCACAGTCTAATACAACCATACATAGACCAACATTGCCCTAGCCACATAGCTAACCATCTCTCTCATGAATGGTCAGAACTCTGTCTAGTCAGAGTGGAGTTCATGTAGAGTAGAAGCAAAACAATGTATTTTCTTCTCTTGAGGATGTTCACTGCTAAGCACACAAAGACAAGACAGGTCATTCCAGTTCAGGTGAGAAAATATCTTCTAGAGCCTAAAGTAATACCCAATCTCAACCAGAACCCAGGGTAACTCCTCTAAGATTGATGGGATAATTTCATTCTCAAGTATCCTTCAACAAATACACACACACCCCACACACACAGCAAACACCCAGACAAACAAACAAGTTATCACTTCACAAGCCCAACGAAACTGTGTAAGTGCCACTCAGTGCATTAGCTTCTCTCAAAAATTAAAGCAAAAATGACAAAAGAATAAGCACCAAATGGAAGAGATGTGTATTTTCAAACTAACCGCAAGCTATGATTATCAAAGTATGCACTATTCATTTTATCTTTTCTTTTTCCTTTATTTTTTGGCTCTTTCCCAAGTACTGAAGGGTAGACATGACACAAAAAGGAAATAAAATTCAATGTGATCTAATTTTGCTGTCAAAGAAGAGGTTAAACCCAAAACCAAGAGTGAGATTGTTTCTAAGCAATTTTACCTTAAGCCAGTAAAATAAATAATCCTGTGATAAGAGACAGTCTACTCACCTTTCCTGAATGACACACTTGTAAATCTATCACCAGATACTTATTACACAATCATTTAAGTTTTTTAACTATGGAACAACCCTGAAGTAATAACATGACAAAAGATTATGACTAATTGATTTTTTAAAATAAGCTATAACATCAATGATGACAACGATAGAAAATCATCTTTTTTTTTCTTCCTCCACTTACTAGTTGTTACACAATGAAGAGTATTTGCCTGGTGCTTAGAATTTAATGCTTCTATGGAAATCACTAGCTGTCCTTCTAGCAATGCTCCCTTTGCTGTTTCATACTTCCAGTGAATCATTAAATATTTCAAAATCTGAAAAGAGCACAATTCAAAGAAAAAAAGAATCTTTAGAAATCTTGGTAATAAATTTGTATGATACACTTAATAATTCTAATTTCAAAAAATAATATTCTTGCCTGCAAAATGTCAGATTTACATTTGTTCAGAACAAAGCATTGTGTCTAAACAGAAGAAATAGTTTAGGGAGGTGACATAAGAAAGGAGACAGTGAAATTCAACACAATGCCCAACACGACAGGCAATGGAGACGTTAAATTGCTTTATTCAAAGGATAAGTTCATCTGGAAATAATAATTTGAAAAAATTAAGTGGGAGTTTGATTTTCCTCTTTCTTTTTTTCACCCCATATAAAAACTAACATTAAGTCATTAATCATCTTTAACTTTCATCAAATCAACATTTCTGAGGGTCAGAATACCAGTTAAGAGCACCGGCTCCGTAGTCAGATGCCCGTTTTTGAATCCTGATGCCCCAAATTCCAGGATGTGTCCTTGGGCAAGTTACTTCTCTGTACCTCAGCTCCCTCATTCATAAAAATGAGGACAAATCTACTGCTGAACGTGCAAAATGCTTAATACAGTGCCTGGCATATAGTAAATGCTTAATAAATGTTGCCTATTATTTCTAATAAAGTCATCTGCAGTAAAGCTGGAACACAATATTTTAAGTTGAACAGATCTCCAAGATGGTAGATAAAACATTCCCTCTTGACGAGAGAAAGTAGAAATGAAACGTAATGTATTTAATGCCATTATTTACGAAAGTTAGCCTCTCACTTCCACACGAAGGTACCACGGGGGAAGTGATTCCCTCCCCTTTTTTAAAGGCGGGGAGATCTCCGTGAGAGACCTTCAGGACTAAGATGCTAATTTGTACCAGAGTTTGTCAAGACAGTTTCCAGGCAGGCCTACAGCCTAACGCTCCCGCTCGCACATCCTCTGACTTTCTCTGCTCCCTCTGCGAAGATCTTCCCGCAGTTTCCTCGCCCATAATGACAGCAGTGGGGAAATGAACACTGGCCTGGGAGTCAGAAGCTCTGGGTTCTGTCCTAGGTCCTGCGACACCTAACCCTCCCACTTTCCTTGCGGACCACAAAGGCAGCAGGGAGAGCGGGAGAACTCTGAGTGCCTGCTGATCAACCCCGTGCGGCTCAAGGTTCCATTTTTACCTGTCAGTAACCCTTACAGGGCCAGGAGCTAAGTCAGCCAGGCAAGGGCCGTGCAAGTGCTGTGAGGAATGAACAAACGTGGCGAGCTGGTGCCCGGTGTTCACGCCCACCTTCCACAGCAAGAACCGATCTCTGGTCTGTGGTGTGGCCAGAGCTGGGGGCGCGGCCAGGACGCGACCCAGGGAGCCGCCCGGACCTCGCTCGGCCCGAGGGCCCACGACCACTTTCTCTCCCCTCCGTTCTGCACGGAGTGGCCCCGATGCCCGCCCAGGGTGGCCCATCCCTCTGTCCGCTGCTCTCCCAGCACAGGAGGGGGCCCCTGAGGCTGGCATTCCGGCTCTAACCCGGGTGGCTGCTAATGGTGGCAAACAGTTCCACTTCCTGGGCCTCGGTTTTCTCAGCGGTGAAGTCGGGGCGGCGCGGGCTCCTCCCGCGGGCAGCAGGGTTGTCCCTTCCCTCAGCTGTGTATTCTCCCTCCCCACGCCCGGGGGCTGGTCCGCTCCTCACAACCCCGTGGGCGGCCGGCTGACTGGCACCGAGTATCATTCCCGAACCTTCCTTTGCCACCTCAGGCAACGCGAGAACCCTCTGCCCAAACTTCGCCGTCTCCTCACAAGGCCCTTCTCCTCATACACTATGCTCTGCGTCCTCTCCCTTTCCGGCATCACCTCGCAGACGGCCAGGGCCGTCCCCTCCATTCTGCACGAGGAGCAGCGCCGACGCCCAGCCGAGGTGTGCCCGCCGCGACTTCGACTGCCGCCCGCGCCCGCGCCCACGCCCGGTCGCACCACGCCGTCTCTTCCCGCCCGCGCGTGCGCCCCGCCCACCGGCCGCGGCGCCTGCGCACTCGGCTCCGCCCGGCCCTTCAGGCTGCGCGTCACCAGGTCCTCCCGGGAACCGTGGGGAGCCACGCGGAGCCGCCGCGGCCCGTGGGCGGACAGGTGGGCGTGCTGCCGGCCTAGGGAAAGCCCGCGGGCGGCGAGCGAGGCTGGAGGCGAACAGGAATGACCCAGCCCACGACTCATCCTTCCTCTCCAAAGAGACTTTCTCACGGTGCCGCCGAGGCGCAGCCCTGAAGCCCAGAGAAGCGGCTAGTGCGGGACCCCAAGCTGGTTCTTGAGCCCCCCATGCAGCCTCACCTCCTGCGGGGGCTTCCCCAGTTGCCCCGGGCGAACCTCTGGTTCCCAGGTTTAGCAAATAAAAATGCAGAGCAGACTGCTGAATGTGAATTAAGGTTTAAAAAGAAAAAAAAAAGTCTTCAGCACACGTATATCCCGTGCAATATTTGGGGCAAACTTATATTTAAAAAGTCCTTTATTTATTTGAAATTCAAAACTGAGCGTCCTGTCCCAAGCATGTCCCCAAGCCTAATTCCAAGGCGCCCAGGCAGGACCCGGAAGGGGGACCTTCGTCCCCAGGGAAGAGGCCCCTCCCCACGTTCGACTCCGCTAAACAGACCCAGGGCAGGAGCCGACTTTCCTAGGCTCCGCTGCCAGGAGAAGCGCCGGGGTTCGCCCGGATTGTTCCCGGCTGAAAAGAGGGTAGCCCTCCGGACTCCAGCTGCCGGGCTCTGGGCAAGTTCAGGGAGGGGCGTGGCGGGGGCGGCGCGGGGAGGATGGCTGTCGGTGAGCCCGTTTAAATGGGTGATCTGGCAGCCAAAAGAAAACCCGTGAGAGATTCCTGCCTGGCAGAGAGTTGCCCAAGGAGAAGGGTGGGACGGGGTGTTGGCTGCTTTCCTTCAGGGAAAATTCTTTCACCGCAGCTCCAAGAAGCCAGGATTGGACAGAACGGGCGGGGGGAGCTGGCAGAGTGCCTGTCCAGTGCGCAACCTTGGTGCTACTCCAAAGAACAAGTCTACCGAGACCCGAAGCATAGCTTTCTTGAGTTTGAGCTCAGCGCTGTTGACCACTCCTCGCATCTCAGTAGCTCACAGGTAAACCTGTTGGAGAAAGGTAGCTTTTATTTCTGGAAAATTCATCATAACACCATCTCAGCTTTGATGAGCTGGCATGAGTTGGGGAGTCATTGGAGCCTATCTCTCTTTCACTCCCTTCTCTCTCAGGGGTCCTCTTTAGGAAGGGTAGTTGCCAAGGGGAAGGGAGCTAACATCTATTGAAGGACTGCCTGTTGTCACCACTGGCTCTTTATATGAATTTTTAACTCTCAAAGTATCTTTTGAGATAACTGTTCTTGTTGCTCTTTGATGGGTGAGAAACCAAGGCGATGAGGATGGCCCTTTAAAATATTTCCCATGGCTCAGCAGAAAATGCCCCACCTTGAGAATGGCATGGGGAATGAAGGGTGCAGAACAGTTGCCAGTGTAGAAGTACTTCAGATAAGTTGGTCATACTGGCTTCCAGCTGTTGTCCTTGGAGCAAGCCTTGGGAACGACCGTGCGCGGAACACACAACACCATCCTAGAGGCAGGGGAGGCCTAACGGAGGTAGCAGGGAAGCAGCTCCCCACCCCTCCCGCCCGGGTGCAGGCAGAGTGGAGGAGGGGAGCCTTTGACACAAGGGCCTGACATCAGGACGTCCACCGCGCAGACCCCTGTGGTCAGGCTAGGTTTGATGCAGGCTTCACATTTCATGGGCATCTACTCTGTGCTACATGGTCTTCACTTTTTCTTATTTATCTTAACCCTCCCAACCTTGTGCGTGAGGTGTTGGTATCATTTTCTACATGATGATGAGATTCCAAGAAAAGGTTGGATCACGCTGAATTTGTAAATGGCAGAGCCAAAGTCTGAAGCAAAAATCCCTTAACCCCTCTTTTGGCTCCCCTACAACTACCCACCGCACCTCCCACCTGGATGTGACCTGCCTCATGGCTTGTCTCACTCTCCTATAGTACGGGAACATGAATGTTACTATGAGAAGCAAACCCCTCCACGCAAAAGGTAAGGCGCCAACGAACTCAGGTGCCCTTGTCTCCCACACACTAAGTCTTGATGGAGCCATAGCATCCAGCCCTTCTCTCACCCAGCAGTTTTTGCCCCCAGCCTGCCTGAGGTCTAGAATCTAACATACTATTGGACTGACTTCACATTATGAAAGCTGTTTTCATTCAGACCTCGCCTTCAGAGCAATAGGACATTAGAGCCAGCAGGAATTATACAGGTTATCAATTATCTTCAATAGATGAAGAAATTGGAAGCCGAAAGAAATTAAATGATCTGCCCAAGGTTAAGGTCACCATAGTCAACCAGGTCAACCAAAGAGCCCCTGGGATGCTGCTCTGGATCTTTTCAGCCCTGCTCTTTGGGGTTTTAGCAGTGCCTTTGCGGGGCCAGCTCTCCCCAGTCCTCCGACTCAGCTGATCCTGCTTGCGTTCCTTCACCCACCTCAGGGTTTCACATCCACTTTGGACAACCTGTTTATTCTGAGAAGAAATCCCCTCTCTGGCCAGAAGGGAGACCACCTGTAGAGCCCAAGATAGACTCTGACCTGAACCGCAGGGCTTGAGTAGAACCAGAACATCCTGGGGAGCGCTGCCAGGTCAGCAGTGACATTTTAGGAACCGTTGCGCTGGCTTTCCCTTCTGAACGTGCCCTTCTCTGGGTGCCATTCCTAGACATTTCTTCAGTCCTACCTTGTTCTCAGGCTGCCCTAGAGCATTCAAAGGCCCTGAAGTGACTGACCCCAGGAACTCAGGTGAAAAATATCCCTGAGGTCCCCCTTATCAGATTGATGCAAAACGAAGTCCATTTGAGGAGTTTCTTCCCCCCGGGAGAACTACTGAAAGAGGCTGTTTCCCACACAGACAGTAGGAAAGGGTTAACTGCCTCTCTCAGGTCCTGAGCAAAGTCTGCCCCCCCACCACTTCCCATAACCGGGTTTCCTGAAATGGAGCAGGTCCCATGTGCCTCTCCACTAATCACAGCCTTGGAAATGGGGCCATGAAGCTCAGATTAGCTCATCCGTTCACCTTCTGGAGGCCTTCTCCACCTGGAGCACAGAATTTGGGGCAGCTTCACTACTCACCTCCGTCTACTTTCCTATCAGGGGTCAAGCAGGCATGTTCTGCAGAGGAGCATCAGGTTGGGGGGGGCGCTAGGGGCCACAGGGGTGCTGACTTCTGTGCGTTTTCTTCAACTACAGCACTCCTTCATTCTAAGAATTATGGGCAAAGTAAGGATCCCCTCGGGACAGCACCAAAGTTTGCATGACTAGACTGTTTTCTTCCTCACCTGCATTCCCCATTTTCTTCCTCCTTAAAATGACTGAGGATGACTCTGGGCAGCTTCCTCTTTTTCCTGACTGACAGTCACCCTTTGCACAGAGTCTCTGGCTTCTTCACCAGTCGCAGGTTCTGGGGCCAGCCCAAGAGATTTTATTCCTTTCCTGTTAGTGTTCAGTTTCTCCTTTTTCTAGATAACCAATAAAATCTATATCACAATGTGGTTCTGCCCTCTGTAATTGGCTTTTTACCATCTCTCCAGGCAGGTGCATCTGTCCTGCCAGCTCATGTCCGCTGGAAGGGAAGTATTCTTTGTGGCATTGAAGACTTGGGAATGGAAACAGCAGTGTAACCTGGTCATGTATGGCCAAGTAAACCTAATGATCCAAAGGGCAGATAATCAACTTTATCTGAAAGACAACAAATAGGCTAACAGGGACAAATATTCATCTTCCTGGAGCCCTACTAAAAAGGACCCTGTCTGCATGTGTTCGATCTCGGTTCAGCCTTTGCATGCCCACAGCACTCAGGTGCTTCACCAGGAATGCAGGTATACAAAGTCTTTAAAGCTGCTAATGTGGAACCTCAAATGAGCAGATTTTTTACTGACCTCTGAAGCTGACTTGATTTTCATCTGTTCTAGCTTTCAGGCCATCTTCTCTCTTCTGTTTTCCCCAACTTTTGTTTGTTTGTTTGTTTGTTTGTTTGTTTAATCCTCACCTGAGGATGTTTTTCTTGATTTCTTTTTCTTTTTTTAAGAGAGAGAAGAAGTGAAAGAGAGAGAGAGAGAAAAACATTGACGTGAGAGAGAAGCATATGCTCCCCTATGGGGACATCAAACCTGCAACCTAGGTATGTGCCCTGACCGAGGATCGAACCCACAACCTTTTGATGTACAGGACAGCTTTCCAACCAACTGAGCCACCTGGCGAGGCTTGTTCCTCCAACTTTTATTCTCACCAGTTGAAAACAGGCTGTGGGATCTAAAGTCTAAAAGGGTCAGGATGTCTGAATTCTTTTCCCATTTTACCACTCACTTTAGGTGTTATGTTCTAGTTTTCCACAACTAAAATAAGAAAATCCTCCCAGGAATATGGTTAAAATAACATCTGTGAAACAATTTGAGAGTTTTAGAACCTTCAATTTAGAAGAAATCTTAGAAGCCATTTAATCTAGTATTTCCCAACCAGAGGAACAATATTTTTTTCCAATTCATTTCCCTATTCCCCTCCCCTCTTCCTGAATAGCCTCTCTCTACCTCCTTCCTTATATCTTCCTGGTATCCAAGATAGAGTGTCTATCTATTTTTCACAATATATTTAGTGTATTTAAGGTTGAGAAACATTGTTTTAATTCACTCCTTATTTCATGCATTAGCTGTCTTCCAAAAACACTGTATAAACGCAGTTTTATGTGAATCAAATCATTTTAGACATACTGGGAAGTTGACTTTAAAAGAAACCCTGTAATACAAAAAACCTCCCCCAGTAACCTTTTATGCAAATCTAGATTTTCATACACCACTACAGGCACGCCTGATTTTGTTGTGCTTCACTTTATAGCACTTCAGGGATGTTGTGTTTTTTACAAATTGAAGACAAGACCCTCCACCAGCAAAAAAGGTTACAACTCGCTCGCTATATTGCGATATTTTCTTTATTGCATTGGACTGGAACCAAACCTGCAATATCTCCAAGGTATGCCTGTATGTTTTACTTAAGGCAAGATTTGCCTATATATAAAACAACTAAAATAATGATAATAGCAACAGTCAACATTTGTTTGGCACCAAGTGTCTTGCTCCTGTCATATATTATTTAATTACTCACCACAACTTACTTCTTTAAAATTATCCCCTATTTACAGATGAGAAAACTGAAGCTTGGAGAAATTAAATAACTTGTTCAAGATCACACAATTAGAATGCAATGGTCCAGAATTTCAACAAGGCCATAAGACTCCAGAGTCTTATTCTTAACCACCAGGAAGTTTCAGATGCCAATAACAGTTGAACAACAATAGTACCACAGCACAAATAAATTAGGTTACAATACAGAAAACTGACCTAAAACTTCCATAGCTTCAAAGACGTACATTGAATCTACACTATTTGGGTTCTAGCACTGCAGGTTTCCCAGGACAATTCACATTTTCCAGTGCAATTTGATCAAGGAACCCCAAAGACTTCCCTTCAGCTATTAGTAGTAAGCAGATGATGCCCCAATTTATTTCAGGTGTGTAGTGGTGATCAGCCATTTTTTTCAAGGGGTCTGTTTATTATCGGGTTTGTGGCGTAAGCTTCTTAGAAGAAAGGAGTGGTTCGTTACTGACAGGCTAAAATCAAAAGTATTGAGAATCATAGTTGATCCCAGCCTGCTCCTAGATGAGTTGGAACCATTCAAATGGGTTTTTAGGCCCAGTTTTTGGTGGTTTTTAGGTTGGAACTTAAAAATAGTTTTGGAGGGCTAGTCCATAAATAAGTGCTGTTTTGAATCCAAGCTGGACAAAGATAAATGGATGTAATACTTCTCTATCCTCAAAGCAGTTCCACTTTCTCCAGTTTAGTCAACAACAGCGTTCACTCGCAGTGTTGGTCAGCTCAGAACCCAGTCCTCATGGCTCCGAGAGCCGCAGGCTTGTCCACACTGTGCAGGGAGCTCCGGGTAGGACCGCTCCCCGACACCCCACCATCAGAATACACCATTTGACTTAAGACTCTACCTTGGCTCACCTGCAGACTTTTACTTTCAAATACAGGATCATTCTTTGCAAATCATGCCCTGAGCTGGCGTCACACTGGCTTGCTGGTCCACAGTGGTCACAGGAAGTTAGGTCTGTCCTTGCGAGGCACTGGCACTCCCCTCGCAAACTCTGACCTTTCTGACCTTCACTTGTACAGCAGGCGTGTTTACATCTCAGTCCTAGACTCAGTCCAGGAAATATGCAATTTTCTTTATTTCTCATCGTAGCCCTTCAGCCCCCATTTCTACTAATGGCAGAAAAATTATAAACCTGCAAAGTGCCGACTCAAGACAACTCCCTCATTTCAAGTGAGCAGTCTCTTAGGGATCTCCACCCTGTCCTCGTCCCTTCGTGGTGTTCAAGTTTGGGGTTTACGCTTCATTCTGACATCAGGGGAGGGGCATCAAGGTCAAGTGTCCTCTTCTGCCTCTCTTACCTTACTGATAAGGAGTAGTTTCCTTCGCTTGGTCTTGGCCACTGGGTTCTACAGTCGCTGCGCCTGTGGCCAAGTTCCCTGGCGGGTGGGACCTGTGGCCTTGTATAGACAAAGCACAGTGATTGCTTCACAAGGAGCTTGGTGGCTTCCACCTCAGCGAATCCTGGGACTACTGAACCGCCACCTGTTCTGTGCTTGGTCGGGTGCCCCCCCGCCCCTCATTGCAGACCAGTCCGCACAGGCACCCTTTCAGTCTCCAGGCCATTCTCGCATCCTGCCAGGCAGGGCACTGAAGAACTTTTCAGATTTTCTCCAAACGCCAAGGAGCCAAGGAGAACCAGGCCTAGGGGTGAGAAGGCCGGAGGTGGTGAGGAGATAGAATTTACCTCGGACCAGCTGTGCTTACACAGGTGACAATGCCATTCGTCCTCGGTGGTGGTGCCCCTGTTAGCACAGGGTACTTTGAAAGGCTGTGCCTTCTCAGACTTCCAGGAATGCTAGGGCACGAGCCCCTTCTGACCACTATGGTCTGATGGTGGAGACAGCAGGCAGCCCCGCACCTGCATCTAAACTCTCTTGCTCTCCTTTCTCAATCCTTTTCAATTCTACTCCAGGCTCAAACAGGATTCTATTTTCTGTGTGGAGGGAAACTTATGGTACATGTTCTTTCCAGTCCAACAGTTGGCGGCATAAATTCTGAGCTTTCAGTTTATCAGTTTCCATCTTTTGATATTTAAAGAGAAGCTTCTGCAGAAAAATTTAAAAATCCCTTTCTTCCCAGCCTGAATTCACCACGCGTTCTCTCTTGCCCTCTGTTTTCCCTCCCACCGCCCTTCTTTCCGTTTCTCACAGGCGCCAAGCATCCTACAGCAGTGTCAGGCCTGGCATCCACATGCTCCGTGTCCCTGTGGCTGGGAACGTGGCTCAAGCATCTGACGGTCTGAGTTGATTAAAATCCCAGCTCTCCCCTTGCCTGGTTCAATGACACTGGGCAAGGCACTTAATCTCTCAGTTGACTCCTTTTCCTCTTCTGTAAAATGGGGTCCATCCTCACCTCTCGGAGTTGTGACAAGAATTAAATGAAATTATATGTGTAAAGTGCTAGAAAGATAATTCCCAATTAATGTTAGTAATGGCCATTATTATTCTTCATTCAGTGCCTGATTAATGCCCTCGTATTTCAGATCTAACTCACATGATCTGACCTCGCTCACCAGGTTATGAATCACTGTTATAGTCTCACATGGCATCCTCAACTTTTCATTCGTAACACTCATTATACTTTATAATCATAAATCTGAGTATACGAGGTCTGTCCAGAAAAAGTCCAACCACTGCTAATATAACAAGAGCATTTTGCACGACATTGATGTAACCTGGCAGCCAAGGAGAGTGAACTGGAATGCACAGGCATGAACAATGATGACCTCACTGTACTAGTCAGTGGGGGTGGTAGATGCCATTGAGTGATCATGTGTACTGTGTGGCCGTTGCATTCAAAATGACTGAATGAGTAGAACAATGAATCTGTATCAAATTTTGCTTTAAGCTTGAACATTCCTCCACAGAAACTATTCGGGTGATTCAGAAGGACGCAGCGATGGGCAACCAGTAACTGGCAGCTTCATCACAATGCATCCACTCATGCATCACACCTCGTGCAGAGTTTTTGGCAAAACATCAAATCACCCAGGTGACTAAACCCCCCTTACAGCCTAGACTTGACACCGTGACTCCTGGCTTTTCCCACAACTAAAATAACCTTTGAAAGGGAAGAGATTTCAGACTGTTGATGAGATTCAGGAAAATATGACGGGGAAGCTGGTGGCGATTGGGACGACTCTG